CTTCCCCGCTGCGATCAGCTTCTACATTTTTGAATAGGGGTTGATTTGCGGCAGTTTAAAGGAACTGGCGGGATGTCTGCGCCCACCCCTCTGGGCATACGTGGTGGGGTTCCTGCGCATGCCCAAGGGACTGGGCGCGAAAATCCGTTAAAAGAGCTTGCTACAGCATCGATCAATCCAGCGCATGCGCACTAGATCCCATGGGTGTGAATGCAAAGATGACCACTCGAAGATCACCAGTTACTGGTAAGCAACCTGCTTTTCCGAGGATTCTTGGTGGAGGTGCCATGACAGTTAAACTAGTATAGAACAGTTATAACTTTTGTAATCCTCTTTCATTCTTCAGTATTATTTATTTATTTATTTTGATTTCTTAACTGCCCTTTCCCGCTTACGTGGGGGCTCAGGGTGGTTTACAACAACATAAAATGTGCTCTGAGGAGCTTTTCCCTAGTTTCTAGCCCACATTAAGGGTTGAACTATATATTATTTGGAAGATGAATAACTGGATCTTCCCCTTTTTTTAAGTGAAAAAGTAACCAGAGTGGGGGAGGTGGTTAAATTGGGTCCCTGCAGGGAGGGATTTAACTTTTTCCTCCTCCACCCGTATCATTTTCCTAATTGCTTTCCCTTCCCCCCACAAACTGACAGAGAACACACACAAAAAATTGAATATGGGCATGTTTCCCTGTTAAGGCTAGTCAACTGTGTGGGTGGTGGTAATTTCTACCAGGAAAATGGCGATGGGGGAAAAGGGTTAACGCTTCCCTAAGTCCTGTCCCGAATTGGGTACCACAGCAGTTTCTGTCTATGAGCCAGTGCGGTGTAACGGTTAGAGTGTCAGACTCAGGTCTAGGACAGTGGTGGCGAACCTATGGCACGGGTGCCAGAGGTGGCACTCAGAGCCCTCTCTGTGGGCACCCGCGCCATCGCCCCAGCCAGGCCCAGACCATCATTAAAGTGTCAAATTCTCTGCCAAATAATTTTAAGTAAATGAAAGCATTTGGGATTGCTTTCTTTACTTTGTTTGGATCATCTTAAGTTAATGTATGAGTTGTTTTTTCTAAAGTAAAACCTCAGCATTCAGGTAAAATGGCCGTGTTGGCACTTTGCGATAAATAAGTGGGTTTTGGGTTGCAGTTTGGGCACTCGGTCTCTAAAAGGTTCGCCATCACTGGTCTAGGAGATGCTGATTCAAATTCCCAGTCTGCCATGGAAGCTGAGTGACTGGACTTGGGCCGGTCGGACATTCTTAGCCTAGTCTACCTCTCAGGGTTGTTGTGAGAATAAAATGGGGAAGGGGAGAATGTTGAGAGCCTCCTCAGGTCCCCACTGGGGAGAAAAAGCAGGAATATAAAATTAAGTCAGTGAATGAATGTTTAAATTCTGTTGGGAGATCTGATCACAGATCCCCTACATGAACAGCTCTGATCCTCCAGAGACCAAGTGGGGTTGAGGCCATTCTGGTGGTGACCTGAACACATTGGGAAAAGCCCCAGACAGTCTGATTATGTAATGTTGGGACTTCAGGCAGGAGCATGGGGTAAGCAGCCACAGTTTGGGGGTTGGAGGAATATGTGTTATGAGCCCCAGGGCTGCTTAATGAACTCCATATCTCACTTGCCTGTCATTAACCTAATTGGAGTGCGATTTTAATGAATGCAGTGGATGCCAGCGTGAAACCGCCAGGCAGGTTGGTGTGAACGCTATGGTGTCGGTACGAGTTGAGGCTCATAAAGAATCGCTCTGGATCTTGGCGATGTATGCACCGCACGATTAAAAAAACCCACAAGCCCTCTGGAATCACCGCTGGGTCTTCCAGGTGGGGAACTGAATCAGATTAAGGAATGGTTTGTGTGTCACACTTTGCCTACCTGAAGGCATACATTTCAGCCGAAGCCAGACTATCTGGGGAGCGTTCTGAAGAAAATAGCCGGAGATTAACGCCTGACTGGTCCAAGACATGAATCAAAGGCTCAAACTAGTTGATGCACAGGGGACGTGTGAGCAGTTTCTCAGTCATTACCGAAGGAGGCTGCCGGTTTCAGTGAGGAACTCTTTGGTGACTTTGTGTGTGTGTGGTTGTTAACCTCCTTTTTGTCTCCTTACGAGTCTATACCAGTAGAACACAAGTTGAGCCTTGCTGCTTTCCGTACTTGGCAAAACAGTTGCTTGACTTCGGTTGCGATAGCAAGGTAGTAACATTGTGTTTATGTGCTTGTGATTACATAATCCTTTATCGAGGTTCACGCCCTTGTTCTTAGAGGCCCGTATCTGTTGCTCTGGTGCGGTTATGGTGGCTTGAAGGAGGACGTGTCATTTGTGAGATCCCAGGCTCGGGTGGCCGGGCCTCATACAAGCCTCTCTTGCTTATTTAGTATATATTTGTATTCCATTCTTCTCCCCAAGGGGGACCCAGAGCAGCTAGAGGGGGAAAAAATCCCAAAAGCAAGGAAGGGGAGCCTTCTGATTTACAAGCAGGTCTTCTCTTTCCCCACTAGCTGGTCTTTCCCCCCAGTTCTAAGCTCTGACCCTTTGGCGAAGAGCTGCCAACTGGCCAAGTGCCCAAAGTTCCGCTCATCCCTTTGGGGGAAGCCCGGGCCTTAAATACCCACATACAGAGAAGAGAGTGAACTCAGCAAAATGGTAACTCAGCTGCCACCAACTAGCAGGAACTTCCCCAGTTTCTCTTTCAGCCTCAGTGTGATCTCCCCCCCCCCCCCTTGTAACAGGAGTGTGATACTACTGGACTGCCTTGCAGGACTGTTGTAGGGATTACCGTTAAGAAAAGGTAGTGCAAAAATGCTGTGAATGTTGAAAAGAGGTCAGGGGTTGCTATTAGGCGGGATGGTGACAAATAACAAACAGATCCATCTGCCAGCCTTTGTTCCCTTCCGCTTTGCAAACAGAATCTGGGCCTTGCTCTGAAATCTGTTTCCTTGTGCAGCTCCCAAATGGTTTTAATGGCAACCAATTATCTTTCCCTCCCCCCTTCATTTATTCCTAATTAAATAATATGATCCATTGCTCTCTTCTGAAAGTGGGCACCGATCCATTTCAGTGTTCCTTTAACTGGTGTTTAGGCACGACACGACAGCACTCACCCAAGTAGCTTCACACTGTTTAATGCTTGCAAGTTCCTTCTCTTTGGGAAACCATCTTTTCTCATGGGGGCGGGGGGGGAATCTCTCCCAGGTCTGCTAACATAAATCTTTCCAATGGGGGGGGGGGGTTTGGGCCTGGGGTCTGTTGGAAGAGAAGGACCAGACACTGTCTCTTAGCCTCGGCCTCCAGAGTGGGCTTACAAAAAAATCCAGTAGATGGACAGGCAAACTGTGGGTTTCCTTCCTGTTTATCTCTTTGCCCCTTGGATGTGTTGACTGATACTCTTAGAGAATTGCCTTCTTCCTTCTATTCACACTTCTCTCTCCTGCGCGCGCGCACACACACACACACACAAAGAAGGAGTGCTCTTCATCTTTGGCACCGTGAATGCTGGACATGCATTTCTGCATCTGTGTCTATCGTAGGTTGTCCAGTTAGATCCTATCTCTGTCTCCCATCTTTAATATCTAGAATGGCGTTCCCTAAATAAAGAACTCTTTATTAGTGTGAAACTGACAAGTGGCTCTGTGTAACTCTGTAACTTTGCTAGCACATGTAGAACAAAGAGAATCTCTGCTGCGTTTCGCCTTTAGTGCACCCTGCTACGAAAATAGAATATAGATTACTGGCTTACTATACCAGTGAATCTATCAGGGTCTGTATGCAGACCAAGGACTCCAATGCTGTTACAGTGTACAAATATAAGAACAACTAGATTAGCATTCGGTAGTATTTTGGAGACTAAGGCCCCTGCCACACGCAGGGGAAAAGGCGCTTGAAGGCGCGGCTTTTAAAAGCTGCGCCAATGTTGACACGGCGCGGCGGGATCTCACGGATCCCCCGGCCGCTCCGCCTTTTCTCCCCGGCGCGATCAAACGCCGGGGAGAAAACACGCCCTACCCAGGGGCCGGCCGAACTGCGCATGTCCGGGCATGCGCAGTTCGGATCCGGGCCGGGGTTGAGCCGGCGCAGGGAAGCGGCGGCGATCAAACGCCCCGGTTGCCGCGCCGCTTCCCTTTAAACCACCTAGATAGGTGGTTCAGTTTGCGCCGGCTCATCCCGGGAAAGGGACAGTTTGGGTACGGAAGCCAGACGCTTCCCAGATGTTGTGGTGTGATCGCGCCGGTTTGATCCGGCCCCAAACTGTCCTGCTCCCGGACCAAATCGGTGAGTGTGAACGGGACCTAACAAGAGTCAAAGGTTCTTTGTCAGAGCTTTGACTCTCGAAAGCTGAGACCCTGAAAATCTTGTAGTGGACGTGAGTCTAACTGTTCTACTGCCCACCAGCATGGCTACCCTCTGGAAGTGTGTTCGCAAAGACGTTTATCTTCATCCACTCATGCCCACTTCCTGCTTTTTATAAACTTCTGTTGTTTCCCTCTAGTTCTGACAGGGCTAGGGTCAGGGGCAGAGAAAGGTCTTTCCCATCACCTAAGATCCTTCAAGTAGTCATCAGGGTTTGAACCTGGGACTTTCTGCGTGCAAGGCATTGTGCAGGGGGTTGGACTAGATGAACCGTGAGGTCCCTTCCAGCTCGATGTTTCTAAGGCGGGTGCTCTGCCAGTGGGCCACAGCCTCTCTGTCTTCGACTGACAAAGCAAGGTAGAGGCCCTTGAGTCAATCTTTGCTCTGCACCCCCCCCCCCCCCCCCCCCCCCCGCAGATGTCTCCTGTGTGTACCCATGGGAGTTTTGCTTTCATCTCTGTTGTTCCTTCCTGTTCTGTTAGAAAAACCGCAGCAGTTAGCACTGGTAGCCCTGAAACCCCAGACCTCGCTTGTTTGCCCAGGGCATCTTCACAGCCCGCTTCTGTCCCAGGCAGCTCAGTGTTGCAAAGCATGCTTTATCTTAACAGGCGACTTCCCCTTCTGTCCCCTCCTCCCTTTTTCTTTTACAGCTACCAAGTTAGCACCCTCGGTCTTTCTCCGAGTTCCCAGCTGCCATCCCCCGACGACCAACCATGAGGCCCGGCCCGCCTTCCTGCCCTTTGGGGTGCCTTCTCGTATTCACGGCCACCTTGGCTGCAGATCTGATGCCAAGGGTGACCATCCGGAGTGGTAAGTAACCCAAAGATGGATGGAGTCTGTGGCAAGCAGGGAGGCACGGTCATAAGGGTACGGGAGGGCAAGGTACAGAATGAGCTGTTAGTATCCTTGATGGGCCTGTGGCTTGGGCAGAAATTGGTACTGGCTGCAGAACCCCGGCGTCCAGAGAACTGCACGTTTCTGTTCCCCATGGCCAAACAGCTAGGTTGGAAATTGTCCCACACTGGAGCATGCAAGCAGAGGTGCGACGGTTATCCTGGGGGACGTAGGTCCCCATACATCCTTAGACACTCCGGCTTACAGGTTTGCCAACAGACAGCATGATCCATCAGTGGAAGGAGCCGAGAGTCTTGGACTCTCCCCAGCAGTCCGTTCTGACTGCAGGAAAGTGGATTCCTGAGGTTGTGGAACCCATGTAGGCTAATAGCCATGCCAGTCAGAGGGCTGCTTTGAAGAGGGGAAAGGTATCGAAATTGCTCACCTCTTTGTCCCCATCCCTGTCCTGCCCGCAGAACTACACTGGCAGAACAAGCAGGAAAGGTAATTTTGCTCCCCCCCCCCCCCCCCGGGGAAAGGGATGGTTATTAGGCTGCATGAGTACTGCAGCCCTGGTAGATTCAGAGAAGGGACTGCTGGGGAGAATGAGATACAAGGAAAGTCCCAAGTTCTTGCCCCCACAGATGGCTGGGTCACATGAAATACATAAAGCTGCCTTGTTCTGAATCAGACCAGGGCCAGTATCCATCAGGGCCAGTATCATATGCTCAGCCTGGCAGCAGGTCTCCAGGGTCTCAGGCAGAGGTCTTTCTCGTCGTCTGTTAACCTGGTCCTTTTAACTGGAGATGCCAGGAACTGAACCTGGGACCGCCTGCATGCCAAGCAGAGGCTCTGCCACTGCGCCACGCCCCCTCCAGCCCAACGTGGGACCAGTAAAACTGTGTTTTGTCAGGTCAGCAATAGGGGGGTCCAGGCCCTGCCCTTTCCTTGCCTTAGACTTGCAATTCCCTCTTAAGACCCTTCCAGGAGGCTGCCTCTCTTTCTTCAAACCCCCTTTTGAGCAAAACTTGCCCTTCCCATGAAGCATTTGGCATGAAGCCTGCTTTGCACTGAATTAGCCCCCCCCCATGCTATATTTTCCAACCACCTCTGCACCCTCTTTTGCCTCCAGCTTAATGTTGAAGTTGATACTGTAAGCTCCTTGGGGCAGGGGGCCTCATTTTGTATTCTGTAATGGTGTCCTTTGCATATGGCACTGGGGTGAACAGCTAATAATACTTGCCCGGTTGTGCCAGGTTCTGTCATGACACCGCTCTGATAAGACAGGTTTTTCAAAGCTCCATCTCTGCGCTCTCAGGATCTGCCTGCCGAGGTTGTTTTCTTAGAGGGGCAGTGGAGAGCCAGCATTTTTAAAAAATAATCAAAACCTGGAAAGCCCTCCCTGCGCTGATTGCAAGAAATCAGCCCTGCGGTTAGCAAGGAGAATACTTTGTGTTTATGTAACTTTCAAGTACACTTCACGTGCATTAGCTCAGTAGTCTTTGCAAAGTAGATCTGCATTTATTATCCCTCTATTTTAGATGGGGGTGTGGGCAAGAGGAGGTTGGGAGATTGACACCAAAGACAGGATTCAAACCAGGGCCTGTCGGATTTGTAACTTGGCGTTATTCGCCGTTGAGCTACTTAGCTGAATATAAACTGGACAGTTTATAACAACCCCGTAAAGTAGGCCAATGTAAATGTCCTTGGATTGCTAATGACAGAGGAATAGGGCTGAGAAAGAATGGCTGGCTGAAGACCCCCAGCGTGAGTTTATGGCTGAGACCTGTCGCTCAGTATCCTTGCACACACAGAGACCGGGGGCGGCACTGCATTGGCTTTACCCTCTGTTGTTACACCAAAGCCACATTGGAACAGAAATTTCCGTCTGCATCGCATGCAGGCTGCTGTCACTTTCTTTGATCACCGGATTTTATGGTACCCTCTGCACTGTGTGTCGCTTTCACTTTCTTTGAACATCGGGTTTTATGGTACCTTCTGCATAGATTTATGGCCATTTAGGGGTGACTTTGCAGTCAGTACGGTGTTGCCCCAGGGTATTTGAATGTGGTTTTGTGCGTCACCTTTTCTGTTCCAACGTGGGTTTGATAAAACAACAGAGGGAAAAGCCAATGCAGAATCAGTCCTAGTTTGTTTATTTATTTATTCAGTTTATACCCCACCCTGCCTGCAAGCAGGCTCAGTTCTCCAGTGGTCCGGTATGTGACAGTCTCAACTTCTGGGAAGCTCCTCCATATAGGCAGAATTTGAGACTGCCCAACCCTGGACCACCAAGAAGGAAGGTTCACCGTAAGTGAGACAGATCTTCCATTTCCCCTCTGCCAGCCTTCTTTTCCGTTGCCGTGCCACAGAGATCGCGAATCTAGCACTGCAACCACTGAACCTACTAGGCAAAACCAAGCTTGTGGGGGTGGGGGGAGCTGCCATTTTTTTTTTGTCAACCCAAAATAGAATCGGCATAGTAAAAGCGGTATCTTCCGGCGGTAATTATTCCAGCATCTGCTGACATACAGACAACAAACACCAGCTGCCACCTCTCCAAGCAGTTCAGCTGTCTATTGATTCTTTTCTCCCAAGTCTTTCTGTGCAATCATTTCGACTTTAGAAAGACAAGAATTGTGGCTCAGCTGGACCAAAAGGTCCATCTGGTTTGGCATTCTGCTTTCAAGAATTCCACAAAGGGGGCATGAATTCAAGCAACCCTCCCCTGCTGTTTTCCCCCAGCGTCTGGTATTCAGAGGTATACTGCCTCTTAACATGGAGGTTCCATTTAGCTGTCTCAGCTTACGCCCTTTGATCAGAAAACCCCTGAACACAAAGGAGTTTCTGCACAAGTTAACAGTTTTGAGTGGAAGCAAGCCCAGAGTGGCAACTCTTGCAGAGAGGCAGAGGGCGACTTCCATGGAGGGCAGGTAGCACAACTTGCGTTGGGATCCAGAACAGCCTAATGTAGGCAATGTGGCAGAAATTAAACATCTCCCCAGTGAAGGCTGATTGGTAGAATCCAGAGTGCTGGATCATACAGAGACAACGGCAGACTTCTCTATGGATGAGCTCTTTGGGCTGCCAAAGATATATTATTTTGTATATATCAATGCACATTCATGTGCCCCAAGACAAAGCATTGGTTAATATAAAAAAGTGATGCAGACTTTAGTGCAAAAACCAGGGGGAAATGGCTTGGGGGATGCTCAGAAGATTTCTCCTGGTTTCTGACTTGATCTGGAATTCCCCCCCCTCTACTGTGTTCTGCTCCTTCTTAACTCTAGCTTTTACCTAGCAGAATTCTGCAATTAATTCTGGAACTAGAGCATGCCCAGTTTGTCACAGCTTTCAGTACTTTTAGTTCCTTTGTATCCCCCCCCCCCCCCCCCCCCCGGGTGCTACACTTATGTGTATTGCTAAAACCTTGCCCAAAAAACTAAAAAGCCATTTTAATACAATTGTGTGTAGATTGCACTCAAATACTTCCTGTTGTGAGCCGTGTTCCCTCTAAGCTGAGTTAGTGGGAGCTAGCTCACAGTTTTTTAGCCTCCAGCTCACACATTTTTGTCTTAGCTCAGGAAGGATGGCTCCAGAGCCAAATCGCTCGCTCACAACTTTAATGCCAGTAGCTCACAAAGTAGAATTTTTGCTCACCAGACTCCACAGCTTAGAGGGAGCATTGGTTGTGAGATGTTTTTACAAGGTATGCGTGCTCTGGAACGTTGCTAGTAGGTCAGACAAAAAGAATTGTAATGTACAGTCACATTGCTGTTGCCCTTTTGCCAGTGTTTGATCAGTGCGCATGCGTGCATTGATAATACAAACTGAAAGATGTGACGCACACATTTGCATGTCACTTTGTAGAAAATTCAGAAATAGCACATGGAGCATTCAAGTATACCTGATGCCTACTTTGGACTCAGGCCAGGTGTTTTGGAGCTCCAAAATGCAGGGAGAAAATCAGATGAGGACAATTTTGGAAGCATCCCTTGCTGTGGGCCTGTGCCTCCTCACACCTTCAGAAATTCCACAAAGGGGGCCATGAATTCAGACAACCCTCCCCTGCTGTTTCCCCCCATGTCTGGTATTCAGAGGTACACTGCCTCTAAACATGGAGGTTCCATTCAGCTGTCTCAGCTTACGGCCTTTGATCAGAAAACCCCTGAACACAGAGGAGTTTCTGCATGAGTTAAAGTTCTGAGTGGAAGCCAGCCCAGAGTGGCAACTTACCGTATGCAGAGGGCCGCTTCCGTGAACGGCAGGTAGCGCTACTTGCACTGGGATCCAGAACAGCCTAATGCAGGCATTGTGGCAGAAATAAAACATCTCCCCAGTTCAGAAGTCCTTCTGAGCTGCATGGAGGAATGTTGTTTTTTTTTTAAATTCAGAGGTGGAAAGACAAAAGAACATTTAGGCCGACTCCTCAAATGTTTCCCTCGATCACAGGAGACAGCGTGTTAATTATAGGAGATGGATCTTATCCAGGATACGTCCCTTTAAAAACGGCTGTCAAATCTGAAAGCCTGCATTTTAATCAAGCTACATTTCCTTCCCTGGGCCAGGCGATTAAGCCATTTAAGATTTTTTGGCCATGATCTAATTTTCTCTTCATCCTCCTTGCGTTTGTTTCCTGCTCGGAGGAACAGAAGAGGTTCACGTCCATTTCTGTCTCTTCTCTTCCCCCCCACCCCCCACCCGGGGCCTGGTTTCCTCATTGCCAGCCCCAACCTCAGCAGAGCTATACCCTTTGACTCGTGTGGGCTTAAAAAAGGGTGTGACTTTGCTTTAGTATACTGCTGTAAGTAGCATCGGGACAATGACAGGCTGTGGGTTGGGTGCTTGAAGTGAATATTCGAAGGGCTCTGCTGGATCAGGCCAAAAGTCCATTGGTCCAGCGTTCCAGCAGTCAGATCTCTCCCCAAATACTGGATCATCAATCGTATTTTTTCATAGAATAGAATCATAGAATCACATGGTTGGAAAGGGCCCTACAGGCCATCTAGTCCAACCCCCTGCTCAGTGCAGGATTGGCCTAGAGCATCCCTGACAAGTGTTTGTCCAGCCGCTGCTTCAAGACTGCCAGGGAGGGGGAGCTCACCACCTCCTCAGGCAGCCGATTCCACTCTTGCACAACTTGTAAACAAGTTCTTCCTAAGATCCAGCTGGTACCTTCCCACTCATTATTATGAATGTGAAGTTAAATGGGCCTTAGAAAGCATTACTAACAACAAAGCTAGTGGAGGTGATGGTATTCCAGCTGAGCTATTCAAAGTCTTAAAAGATGATGCTGTTGAAGTGCTGCACTCAATTTGCCAGCAAATTTGGAAAACGCAACAGTGGCCACAGGATTGGAAAAGGTCAGTATACCTTCCAATCCCAAAGAAGGGCAATGCCAAAGAATGTTCAAACTATCGCACAATTGTACACATATCACACGCTAGCAAGGTCATGCTCAAGATCCTACAAGCTAGGCTTCAACAGTACGTGGATAGAGAACTGCCAGAAGTACAAGCTGGGTTTCGAAGAGGTAGAGGAACTAGAGATCAAATTGCCAACATTCGCTGGATTATGGAGAAAGCAAGAAAGTACCAGAAAAACATCTACTTCTGCTTCATTGACTATGCTAAAGCTTTAGACTGTGTGGATCACAACAAACTATGGCAGGTCCTTAAAGAGATAGGAGTACCAGACCACCTCACATGTCTCTTGAGAAACCTGTATAAGGGTCAAGAAGCGACAGTTAGAACTGGATATGGAACAACTGATTGGTTTAGCATAGGAAAAGGAGTACGACAAGGATGTATATTGTCACCTTGCTTATTTAATATATATGCAGAGTACATCATGCGAAATGCTGGTGGCATCATGGCATCCGGCCCCATCACGGCAAATAGAAGGGGAAGTCGTGGAAGTAGTGACAGACTTCACGTTCCTGGGATCCCAGATCACCGCAGACTGTGACTGCAGCCATGAAATTAAGACGCCTGCTTCCTAGGAGGAAAGCGATGGCGAACCTAAACAGCATGATAAAAAGTAAAGACATTACCCTGCCAACAAAAGTCCGCATGGTCAAAGCAATGGTATTCCCAGTAGTCATGTATGACTGCGAGAGTTGGACTATAAGGAAGGCTGAGTGCCGAAGAATAGATTCTTTTGAACTATGGTGCTGGAGAAGACTCTTGAGACTGCAAGAAGAACAAATCAAATCAACCCTGTCTGTTCCCTGGAAGGCCAGATACTGAAACTGAAGCTCAAATACTTTGGCCACCAAATGAGAAGGGAGCACTCCCTGGAGAAGACCCTGATGCTGGGAAAGATTGAAGGTCAAAGAAGACGGGGACGGCAAAGGATGAGATGGTTAGACAGTGTCATAGATGCAACGAACATGAAATTGAGCAAACTTCAGAGGACGGCGGAAGACAGGAGGGCCTGGCGTGATCTGGTCCATGGGGTCGCGAAGAGTCGGACTCGACTGTGCGGCAACAAAACAACAGCAACATTACGAGTTCTATCCCCTGCTGCCAACAGGAACAGCTCCCTGCCTCCTCTAAGTGACAGCCCTTCAATTACTTCAAGAGAGCAATATTGTCCTCCCTCAACTTCCTCTTCTCCAGACTGAACATTCCCAAGTCCCTCAGCCTTTCCTCATTGGGCTTGGTCTCCAGGCCCCTGATCATCCTTGTCGCTCTCCTCTGCACCCGCTCCATTCTGTCCACACCCTTTTTGAAGTGAGGCCTCGAGAACTGCACACAATACTCCAGGTGTGGCCTGACCAATGCAGTGTACAGTGGGACTATACCGTCTTGCGATTTGGATGTTATGCCTCTGTTGATACACCCCCAAGATTGCATTGGCCTTTTTTTGCTGCCGCATCACACTGTCTGCTCATATTTAACTTTTGGTCCACCCATACCGCAAGCTCTTGTTCACACACACACTGCTACTCAGAAGTATATTCCTCATTTTTGTTACCCAGATGTAGAACTCTGGACTTATCCTTAAATTGCATATTTGTTATTTATACAGTGCTGCTTATGTCTTTCCCACCAACTCAGGAGACGCAAATCGGATCCTCCCCTCTTTCAGCCAAGATGAGGTTCTGAACTATGATACTTTCCTCCTGAGCCAAGACGGAGAGACCGTTTACGTGGGAGCCAGAGACACCATCCTTGCCCTCGATATCAGAAACGCTTCCTCCGTCAGACTGAAGGGTTTGGTGAGTGGGACTCGGTGGAATCTAGAGTAGCTGGGCACCGCAGAGACAGAGGGGTGTGCGTTAGAGGAAGTTCTGGAATCACATGATTTGAAGCCCTTTATGACCAGTGCAAAGGGACATACTTGAAGGACCGCCCCTCCCTGCATCTTCCGCAGTGCATCTCTGCTCTTCCCACAAAGGTCTGCTGTCAGGACCCTTTTTATTTAAGGCATGTTCTGCCGGCGTCCAGGTTTGCTTTTTCAGTGGCTGCCCCATGGTTCTGGAACAGCTTCCCTGAAGCGTTTGGGGGGGCTCCTGCCCTCTCGCACTTCCAGTGAGGATGCAAAAGAGCTGTGGGGGCAACCTGAGCACGGGCAAAGAGGGAATACCCTGCTGTTTGGGACATAAATGTAAAAGCAAAGGCAGCACAAAACCATGTAAAACCACATTTAAAAAAAAAATCAGACAGACCGAAAGCAGAAGAATATCATAAAAATCACACTGCTGGAACACAGAGCAACCAGCTACACAACGCAAACACACACATGCAGGGAAACCTTTGCCACCAGAAGCTCAGCACCTAAAAGATGACAGGGACAGCTCCCAGGTGAACATCCCCTAACCCCAGGCCACCCAGCTGAGCCACAAAAAAGACCCCCCCCCCCCCCCCCCCGGGCAGATGCCAGCCTGACTTCTGAAGGCCAGGGTATGGGGAGAACAGCCTCTGCTGCTGCTGATCTCACCAGATGGGTGGGTTTCTGTGGGGAGTAGCCTTAGACTTCCAAGCCCACCACCAGCGCTTTGAGGTGTGCCTAGAAAACAGTCTGGAAGCCTGTAAAGATCTCTAAGCAACGAGCTGGGGTAATCTAGCCTGGATGTTAAGTAAAGCATGAATAACTGTGCTTAAGAAGCGAGACCTATCATTCTAAGGAAAGAAAGAAAACTACGTAAGAGCTCTGCTGGATCAGATCCAACAGTCATGGGCCCCAGTCACACGGGAGGATTTGCCATGCGAGAGGGACGGATCGGGGGCGCATCAAGCGGGCACGATCACACCACAACATCTGGGAAGCGGAGCGCACCCGTCCCCGATCCGTCCCTTCCGGGCGAAACTGCGCATCAAAAAACCCCTAGAAAACACTACTACTTACCTGAAAATCCTCAGCAGGGGCGGCCGTGGATCGCCGGCGCGCCCGTCTCTGGCAGCATCCAAGGACCCCAGCCAAACTGCACAGGCACGCACATGCGCAGCGGGCTGCCTTGCTCACCGATCTGAGGCACCCCCCCCGGCATCTGATCATGCCGGGGAGCAACTGCACGGTGGCTCGGGGAATCTGTCTGATCCTGCCGCTGCGCGTCTCTTTTGATGCAGCTCAAAAAAGCCGCACTTCAGCCGCACCTTTCCCCCCAGTGTGGCCGGGACCATCCTTTCTCTTCCTCACAGTGGCTAACTGGATGCCCCAGAAAGGCCTACAACTAGGGCAGGGGGGAAGCCTCCCTGCTTTTGATGACCCCCAGCGACTGGCGTTGAGACGTAGACTGCCTCTGAATATGGAAGTTTTCCTTTTAGCCACCTTGGCTAACATTCACTGATTGACCTTGTCCTGCATGAATTTGTCCCATTCCATTTTACTGAGAGCACAGATATAAAGACAGAATGTAGAAATAAAGAAGTACCCCACCCTCCAAAACTGCCATTTGCTCCATGAGGGGAATAAATACAGGCATGGATGCAGGATATAATTTGGGGAGGGAAAGTGATAGAAATCAGAAGAACAGATTGGATTTATACCCTGCCCTTCACTACCTGAAGGAGTCTCAGAGCGGCTTACAATCTCCTTTCCCTTCCCCACCCCACAACAGACACACTGTGAGGTAGGTGGGGCTGAGAGAGCTCTTTCGAGAACTGCTCTTTCGAGAACTGCCCTTGAGAGAACAGCTCTGAGAGAACTTGTGACTGACCCAAAGTCACACCAGCAGCTGCATGTAGAGGAGTGGGGAATAAAATCCAGTTCTCCCAGATTAGAGTCCAAGCTCCTAACCACTACACCAGGCTGACTCTCAGGAGAACAGCACAGAGGAAAGGGTTGAACAATCAAACTCCCCATCCTGTTGTCACTGGTTAATTGGCTTCCTCCTGTTGCTACACTTGAGAAAGAGAAAAATTGTCTGATGAAGGGTATCTGACAAAGGAAGCTTTGACTCTCAAAAGCTTATTACAACCCCCCCCCCCCAATCTTGTTGGTCCCTAAGGTGCTACTTGGACTTAAATCTAATATTTGACTGGAGATCCAGTCACATTTCTTTATGTGCATCACCTGCAGCTTGGCCCTGAGACAGTTAATCCAATGTGCTTCCTCACCAGGCTGCAAAAATATGTCCCACGTGATGGCAACAGGGAGTGTGGTGGCAGCAAATGGGGACAACATCCACACCCCCACAACCATTGTCTTGAGCCATCCCTCTCCCCTCATATGCAATTAGTCCTGGTAGGTAAACAAAAACCAGGCAAAAATAGGGTTGATCTTCTTTCCTTACTAGGGCTAATTGCAGCTGGGGAGGAGAGGCTACTGAGAAAATGGACGAGGTAACTGAATGAAGTTAACCCCCCCCCACACACACTCCCAGTGCCCTGATCTATCCCCCTCCCCGCTGCTTTTTTAGAGTCAGCACATGTAAAGATCCAATCAATGACACAATGGGCTGTTCGGCCCACAGTTTACAAAGATATGAGCGGATTGGTCTTCCACAATTTTTTTCTCCACTGGCCATGGACAAGAACCCTTTAAAGGCATTCATTGTGGGGCTTTTAAAGGGAGTTTAAAGTGCAAAATCTTGCTAGTTTACAGGTATGACCACCGGGTTGCCAACAGCTGGAAGGAGTTGGGGTGTGTGTGCAAAAACAGAAGTGATGTCATCGTGTTGAGGTGACACTCTAGGATATGCTTAAAACTATGGTTAAACCATAGAATTTAAGGCAAATCATAGAGTGCCACCCTGATCTGATCATGTTACTTCTGGTTTTGTGCCAGAAGTGATGTTGTGTGCTGGCACAGACCCACATTTCCCCCCTGCCAGTCTGTGAAGTGGGGAGGGATTGCTAAGAGGTCTTTTGCTATAGGGCGACCAGTCCCCCACCAATGTAGGAGGAGCATCCCTGCTACCCCCCACCATTCCCCCAGCAGCAGCCAATTACTGATCCCATTGGAAAGGTAGATATTAGAATTTGGGGCCAGGTTCCAGGAAGTGTTTTACAGAACACCGTAGCTGTATCATGAGAGGCTGCCTCTGTTTGTCATGGTTTTGTGCATGTGTTCCTGAAGCCATTTCTCCTCATGACCTTCTCCCATTATTTTGCTGGCCCCAGACATCTAGGCAGCAACTTCTGCTGTGCTTTTCCATCTCTCCAAGAAGAAGATGGATTTCAGCTTCATCCGACAGCTCCTTTAGCTGAAGCCTGACCCAGCTGCTGCAAGCAGACAGGCTGCGGGAAGACCAGAGAACAGGGCCCCGGCCCAGCAAAGAGGAACAGGCTTGGCTCACATCCCCTTCCTAAATATAAACCGGAGGCCTGCTTAGGCCTGAGCAGTTTCACCCTTACCAAACCTCTTCTCTTTTTTAGCTTTCAGGAGGACCTTGCTGGATCAGGCCTGTGGTTTGTCTAGTCTAGCATCCTGTCTCACACAGTGGCCAACCAGTTGTCCTGAAGGGCCAACAGATAGGGCACAGAGGCCAAGGCCTTCCCCTGATGGTGCCTTCTCTAGTACTGATATTCAGAGGTTTGCAGCCTCTTAATATGGAGGTTCTCTTTAGTCACCATGGCAGCTGTTGATGGACCTGTTCTCCCTGAACGATAGTGTCTTCCAATACATCCACTGGTGGTGAATTCCATAATTTAACTACTGGTTGAGTAAAGAAATACTTCCTGTATTGTTCCTTTGGCTTTCTGCCATTGGTGGTGGGACGTGCCGTCAAGCTGCAGGAAACCTGTGGCGACCCCATAGGTTTTTCAAGGCAAAAGAGGGGTTCAGGGGTGTTTTGCCATTGCCTGCCTCTGCATTGTAACCCTGGGCTTCCTTGGTGGTCTCCCGTCCAAGTACTGACCAGGGCCGACCCTGCTTAGCTTCTGAGATCTGACGAAATGGGGTTAGCCTGGGCCATCCAGGTTAGGGTGTCTGTCATTACCTAACATGTATTTAATACAGATGCTTTCTGCTGTTGCTCTGCTGAACTTTTTATTTACTTTATTTATACCTTGCCTTTTCCCTCAGAGGACCCCAAAGTAGCTTACCTCATTCTCCTCTTCTCCGTGTTATCCCCACAACCATCCTGTGAAGGAGGTAGGCTGGCAGAGAGTGTGACTGGCTCATCGTTAGCCACCAAGCTTCCAGGGCAGAATGGGATTCGAATCTGGCTCTCGCAGATCCTAGTCCGACACTCTAACCACTGCACCCCAGTGGCTTTTTATGGCAGTGCCATTTATTGGATTGGATTGCCTCCAAGAATCCATTTGGTTTCTGATTGTTGAGCTGCAAATAAATAAATAATGGTAGTCATCTCCCAAGAGAGAGGCAGTATGTTATAGTGGTTAGAGTAGGACCAGGGAGATTCAGGCTCATGTTTCTTCCTTCCCCCCCCTCTCCTGCCCACCAGATGGCTCACTTTGGTGTTTAAGCCAGCCATGCTCTCAACCTGGCTTACCTTATAGGGTTGTGTGGTGCAAAGCCAGCATCGTGTAGTAGTTAAAAGCAGTGGACTGTAATCTGGGTTTGAGTTCTCCTCCACATGACTCCTGCTGGATGACCTTGGGCCAGTCACAGTTCTCTCAGAACTCTCTCTGCCCCACCTGCCTCACAAGGTGCCTGTTGTGGGGAGAGGAAGGGAAAGGTGATTGTAAACCGCTTGGCGACTCCTTAAGATATAGAAAAGCGGGATATAAAAACCAACTCTTTTTCTTCTAAAGTGGGGAGGGAAACATGCCCAAAGCTTACAGGAAGGAAGGATGGGATACAAGTGTAATATATACCTGTCTTCTCCATTTTCTGTAACAGATACCATGGAAGGCCACGCCTGAAAAAAAGCAAGAGTGTGTTTTTAAGCAGAAAAGCCTTGAGGTATGTTGGGGCAGAGGGGTGCAGGCAACAACAAAAAAAGTAGGTGGACCACCAAGATGTATAATAAATGATGTAAACTAATTGAAATGCACCCCATGTTGCTGGAGTTCTGCAGCTTTTTCTTCTGGCCTTGAACCTGCTGGACGCCCGTCCTTCATATTGGGCTGTTTCTCACGGAAGGGCCCGATTCACCATGATCACTCCACTTCCCTCACTGTTTTCTGAGTTCAAACAGAATTGCCCTTCCTTTAACCAGAGTGTTACCCAAAGTAGAACAATGCAAAGTAAAGGCTCCTCACCTTCTGAGTGGTTAAAGCCATAGCAGCATCACATGCACCTAGAGATGTAAAGGCCCAGGGAAAAAACGGAAAAATTCGAGAAAGAACGTTTTTTTCTGCTTTTTTCCCTGAAGCCTTTTTTTGTTTTTTTCTGAAAAATTGAAAAAAGGAGAAAAGGGGAAAAAACGATTATGGAACATTTTATTTTAACATGATGAATAAAATATTTTCCGACAAGGTGTTCAAATATTTTCCAAATCATTTCTAAAAAAATACGTATGTTATCAGATTGATCTAATTTCTGTGCACTGAGGACAAGCAAATCCTAGGTTACCAACTGAACTCTCCAATGCAAGAACAAGATGCATTTCTTCCTTTAGGAGGTGCTATTGTCACAAGAAAAGGAAAAGGTTTCAGTTTTGTTTTTGCATGTGGGTGGGTATTCTGTTTGTAATAATTGTTTGGATACACTATTTTTAATATGCTAGTTGTGATAATTTCATGCCAAGTAAAAATGTCCATAGTCATATTTTATGTTCCTAAAGTAACAGAATGACTTTCAATCTGGGGGAGGGGGAAGAAGTGCTAATGTAGCATTTTTTCCCATTTTTCCAAAAATGTCCGGTTTTCCCAGGAAAAAAAAAACGGGGGGAAACTGGAGGTTTTTCCGAGCTTCAAAATTTCCGGACATTTTACATCTCTACATGCACCTGAGGAACCGTGGTCCCCACCTGGCTTGCGGTGATTCAGGAAGTGCCACTTTCCTCTGCAAGGAGACGGAGCGGCAGGCTGGACTGTTCACGTTGGCTTTCTGCTTATAATGCAGCTCTCAAATGCCCTGGAAAAGTTTGCATGTTCCTCTTTAAATTTAATTTAAAAAATTAAAAATGCATTGAAAAAGGACGATGTAGCCCAACAAACAGAACACTGAAATCTTAGAAGCAGCCTGGGACCCAGGGATAGAATCACAGAGCTGGAAGGGGCCATATCTAGTCCATCTAGTCCCACCCCCTGCTCAATGCAGGATCAGCCTAGAGCATCCCTGACAAGTGTTTATTCAGCCGCTGCTTGAAGACTGCCAGTGAGGGGGAGCTCACCACCTCCCTAAGCAGCCAGTTCCACTGCTGAACTACTCTTACTGTAACAAACTCTAAGGAACTCTTCCCCCATATGAAACTGCCCCCTCTGTTGGAATGTATCTGTAACCTGGCCCACCAGCATGTTTTTTCTTCGTACAGCATCTGCAGGAGGCTCCAGTTTTGACTGGGGCCACAACATGCATAGAAGGGGGTTAATTCCTCTCCCCTTGTGGCATTTTTGTTGACCTTAAGCAGCCTCCAATGCTGATGTTTACCCATCGCGGGAAACCTCCAGCAGCCAATCTTCAGATTTTCCCCACTGAGGCATTTGAGGCCTCCTCCTCAAGGGAGTGTGTTTGAGTGCAGGAAAATGGATGAAGAGGGAGGATTAAACCTCCTCCCCCTCACACACGCTGTAGCTTCCTGCAGCTTTACAAAGGAAAAATGAGCCGGAGATCGGACCTAGCAAGGCTCTGAGATGCTGTTCCTGGTGCTCCATCTTCAAAGGTCAGTGGCAGCTGGTGGGCACAGGGCAGGGCCTTTTCTGTAGTGGCCCTGCAGTGATGGCTGACCTGTCCCTGAGACAACTGCCTGCCTGATGCTTATTTTATCCTTCAGACATCGTCTACCCCCACCCGTTATTGACAATTGGGACTATTACCTGGATTTTGTTCGCTGGCGCTGGTCCCTGTTTATGGGGTGTGGGTAGGGTTGCCAAACTCCAGGTAGGGCCTGGAGATTTCCAGAAATTACAACTGATCTCCAGATGACAGAGATCTTCAGTTCCCCAGTTTTGGAGGGTGGGCTCTATGGCATTATACCCTGCTGAGGTCCCTTCCCAAGCCCTCTCCTCCCCAAGTTCCACCCCCCAAAATCTCCAGGAATTTCCCAACCTGGAGGTGGCAGCCCTAGGTGTGGGATTTGTGTTAGATGGCTGTTTTTGATCTGCTTGTTGGGTTACACTGATGGATTTGTAACTAGAATATATACTGCCTTGAACACCTTAGAGTGGACAGAAGAAGAGAGCAAGAAAACGCCTTAAAACAAGTAGCATAAGGTTTTGCATCTGATACTGGGGGCCCAGAGAACATTGTGGGAGGGAGGAGGGATTAAAAACCATGGCTTCCTTGCTCTTACACTGCTGACTGGTGATGTTTGAGTGGGGCTGATGCGAGTAACACAGTGTGGGGAGGAGATCGAGAGATGCATCTGTTGTGATGTCTTGTTGACCTTCGCTGTTTATTCACACACATTGACGGCCTTGAGAGACCAGGTGCCTCCATTCCCTGCTTGGGTCTTAATGAGGCATTATGGGTGAAAGTGTGTGCGTGGTTCTCCTGAGGCATTTTTAATTGGGAGGCCAGCAGCCCTGGAGGAAAACGTCCTGTCCCTTTAATAGAGGCTTGATGTGTGGAATGGGCGGTGGAAGCTTTTCATGGCCTGGAGGTTGATAACATTACCTGATAAATTAAACCCACAACGGCTCTGCTAAAGGGGGAAAGGCTCCCCCCCCCCCCTTTCAGGCTCTTGGCAACTAGGGTTGCCAGCTCTGGGTTGGGAATTGTCTGGAGACTTTGGGGGTGGAACCTGGAGAAGGCAGGGTTTGGGGAGGGGAGAGACCCAGGGCTCTTTTTGTAGAAAAAGCCCAGCAGGAACTCATTAGCATAATAGGCCACACCCAACAGCAGGAACTCATTAGCATATTGGGCCACACCCCTGACAGCACAGCTCATTGGCACATTAGGCCGCACCCCCATGTTACCAGAAGTGTGCTCATCCAGCCACACCCACCTTTTGCTTGTTATTCTGTTTACCTTGTTTGTTGTCAAAACCCAGGGCTTTTTTTGAAGCAGGAACTCCTTTGCATGTTAGGCCACACACCCCTAATGTAGCCAATCCTAATGAGTTTCTGCTGTTGGGTGTGGCCTATTATGCTAATGAGTTCCTGCTGGGCGTGGCCAACTCGGGAGCCAGCCGGAACTCCGTTCCTGTGCGTTCCTGCCCCAAAATAGCCCTGAAGAGACCTCAGCATGACACAGTGCCACACAATCCACCCTCCAAAGCAGCCATTTTCTCCAGGAGAACTGATCTCTGTAGTCTGAAGATCAGTTGTAAAAGCGGGAGATCTCCAGGCCCCACCTGGATGGTGGCAACCATGATTTTTAATGTTTGAAAAGCACTGAAACTGAGTGTGTGGCACAGCACCCCCGATTCTTCTACTTGTGTGCATCAGCCGTGGGAACCCACAGGGTTCAGTCTTGAACTCCTTTACACCCAGGTTGCCGAGAAGGGATTTGGATTGGGGATGCATCACTGGGGAAAGGGAGATTTAAACCCTCCCACCTGATGCCATTTCCCCAATAGAAATAATTTCCCCTCAAATTGCTTTTTAGACCTGGTGGGACAGAAAACTGTCTTTTCCTCTCTACTGCTGCAGCCAGTAGCAGTTTGAGGGGGAACCTCTGTCTGGTAAATCGTGCAGGAGGGAAAGGTTAAACTCCCTTTTCCGCCTACGCTCTGGCAACATCTTTCTTCCTCTTCTGGAGGATGCTTTTTAAAGGGTAAAAAAACACCTCAGAAGATCAGAGATCTCCCTCATAACCTGTTGCTAAGCCGGTAGAATTTTAACTTTCAGAGACTCGGGAAGAAGCAGAACACTGAAGAATGCCAACCCCAACAATTAACTCCCTTAATCTCCTCAGAGGGACACACTTAGAGACTGTAGTTTCCTTTGGATATGAAACAGGAAATTGGGACTGCCCGTGGTAGATGGGGACAGTTGGAAAGCACGAAGTCACTTTATGATGTGAAGATGCTCTAAAGATGTCTATTCCAGATTTGTTTAGCAGGACTCCATTAATCCTATACAAATTTTACACATCTTGCATGGTGAAGGGGGAAAAACTTACTTTATGCATTATCGTGGAATAGATTTGCTCTTAAACAGCTCTTCAGTGGGAACCCTTTTCTCGAATACAAATGAAGAGGAAATTGAAATCTGGTTTTATCCTCCTCTTCCACAGACAGACTGTTTCAACTTTATTCGTGTCCTGGTACAGCTGAACAGCACACACCTCTACACCTGTGGGACGTATGCTTTCAGCCCCACCTGTGCTTACATTGTAAGTGTCTCGGGGGGAGAGAGGGGTGAAGTTTTGATGGGTCAAATGTCTACAGATGCAGTGCTTAATTCACTGAGCTGTTAAATTTGAGTAAAATGCATTCCCAGTTGTCTCACAGGAAAGAATGCCTCTTCTGAGAAGGTGCCTGCTGTGATTTATGTGGGCACTACCTAGGAAGAAATAATTCTCCCTTCTCACCCTCACAGCCTCTTCTGAGATGGTGTCTGCTGTAGTTACTGGGTCATTGTCTAAGGAGAGGCATTCTCCTTTCTCACTCTGAAGGGAATGCCTCTTTTGGGATGGTGCTTGCTGGGATTTGTGTGGCATTGTCTAAGAAGATGCATTCTCCCTTCTCACTCTGGAGGGGAATGCCTCTTCTGAGAAGGTCCCTGCAGTAGTTACTGGGTCATTGTCTAAGGAGAGGCATTCTCCTTTCTCACTCTGAAGGGAATGCCTCTTTTGGGATGGTGCTTGCTGGGATTTGTGTGGCATTGTCTAAGAAGATGCATTCTCCCTTCTCACTCTGGAGGGGAATGCCTATTCTGAGAAGGTCCCTGCAGTAGTTACTGGGTCATTGTCTAAGGAGAGGCATTCTCCTTTCTCACTCTGAAGGGAATGCCTCTTTTGGGATGGTGCTTGCTGGAATTGGTGTGGCATTGTCTAAGAAGATGCATTCTCCCTTCTCACCCTGGAGGGGAATGCCTCTTCTGAGATGGTGTCTGCTGTAGTTACTGGGTCATTGTCTAAGGAGAGGCATTCTCCTTTCTTACTCTGAAGGGAATGCCTCTTTTGGGATGGTGCTTGCTGGGATTTGTGTGGCATTGTCTAAGAAGATGCATTCTCCCTTCTCACTCTGGAGGGGAATGCCTCTTCTGAGATGGTGTCTGCTGTAGTTACTGGGTCATTGTCTAAGGAGAGGCATTCTCCTTTCTTACTCTGAAGGGAATGCCTCTTTTGGGATGGTGCTTGCTGGGATTTGTGTGGCATTGTCTAAGAAGATGCATTCGCCCTTCTCACTCTGGAGGGGAATGCCTCTTCTGAGATGGTGTCTGCTGTAGTTACTGGGTCATTGTCTAAGGAGAGGCATTCTCCTTTCTCACTCTGAAGGGAATGCCTCTTTTGGGATGGTGCTTGCTGGGATTTGTGTGGCATTGTCTAAGAAGATGCATTCTCCCTTCTCACTCTGGAGGGGAATGCCTCTTCTGAGAAGGTCCCTGCAGTAGTTTGTGTGGCATTGTCTAAGAAGAGCTCCTTGGAAGAAGGATGAGATGAAAAATGAAATGAATGAATGAATAAATTAAAAGACTTCTTAATAATGATAACTTGGTATTTGGGCTGAATTGTGTCAAGGATTTGGGACACTCCAGAGTTTGGAAGTGCTTAAGGACCAGTCTGGTGTAGTGGTTAACATCTTGGCCTTGGACCGGAGAGCCCCAGGTTCAAATCCCCAATCTGCTGTGGAAGCTTGCTGAGTGACCTTGGGCCAGTCACTTTCTCTTTGCCTCACCTATTTCACAGGGGTGGGGTGGTTGTGGAGATAAAATGGCAGAGGGAGGAACAATGTTGTAAGCAGCTTTAGCTTCCCATTAGGCAGGAAAGCGGGGTATAAATAAAGAAATAGCTTGGGTTTTGCAGGATAGGTGCCTATACACTCTGTTTCTCCTCGTTCTTTCTCTGTGTTTTTTTTTTTTTTTTAAGGAACTGGATAATTTCAGCTTGGCTACTGATGAATACAATCAGTCCCTCTTCCAGAAGGGGAAGGGCCTGTGCCCCTATGATCCTAACTATGACAATACAGCCATTGTTGTTGGTGAGTGTTCTCCCCCCCCCCCCCCCTTATTTTTAAAAAAGAACTTTTTTATTTCGGGGGGGGGTCCGCCCCCCCCCCCCCGCTTAATCTGAAAAGCGACTTTTGTACTTCCTCATGCTTCAGGGTAGCACAGTCGCAAAATGCTTAGAGCGATGCAGAATAAAATACCCAGGATGATATACCTGTAACATCCAGGTTCTTACTGCAAGGATCACTGATCAACCCCCCATATCCATCAGAGGTAGATCGGAAAGTTAAAACGGCCCCAGAGGAACCGGCTCGAGGCAGCTTACAAAGTAAAAAAAAAAGATGGAAACATAAAACACCATAAAATGGCTAAAATATTAACAAGCCCAGCATTGAAAATCCAGCCAAAGCATTTAAAAAGTATAAAACATTTATCTCGAGTTTCATAAAAACAGTTTTAAAAAATCAACCCCTCAGTTAAAAACCCTGGGTTGAAAGAAATGTTCTGGCCTGGCACCTCAATGAGAGCAGGGTACCCGCCGAGCCCTCAAGGGGGAGGGCAATGCACAGGGGAGAGGCCACCACTGAAAAAGCCCTGTCTCTGATTGCTACTCGCTTCATCATTGTTAGCTAGAGGTGAGCTGTGCAGCCCTATGGTGCAGCTCAGCTCAGCTCAGTTCAGCTCCCTCCTGGCTGCTAGTGGTCCTCCAGCAGAGCAGACCAGCGGCAATTCCCAGGTGAGTTAAAGAGCCGGTCATATTGCTGAAGGTCTGACTCTACCTGCTGTGTGCACCTGTTCTGCCATAGCCTGTTTTCTACTAATTGAAAAGCCCAGAAGGGTGTTGCCGCTTCTTGCAAAAGAGACGGCAGCAAAAAGAACCTAATTGCTCTGCGATCCTTATTAATTGTCCTGAGCACCTTGGAGGAAAGGCTGGATAAAACCGTACTACATAAAATAAATGAGAGTGTTCCATTCTGTAGCTGGAGGGTGTGAAATGACAGGCTGGTGCTGGGTGTGTGTTTGTGTTGTGTGCGGGTGCGTGTTGACACTTGGGGCCATAGATCCACTTACCGCTCCAAGATTAACTTCTAGATCAGGGGTGTCAAACATGTGGCCCAGGGGCCAGATCAGGCCCCCGGAGGGCTTCTATCAGGCCCGCAGTGAAACTGGCTGTCTTGTTCTTCTTCTTCCAGTTCTGCTGCTGCGTCATCGTAGGTTTGCAGCTTACAGATACACACCTGAACAGCATACTCAAGATTGCAACAGCACAGACATTTTGATGCAATAATTCAGAGCAAGAGTTGTCAGTTATCAGACACTGTTAAATAAACAAAGTATTGCAAGAGTGCTAATGTTTTAAGCATGTTTTATTTTAAGTTTTAAAAAATATTTAAATGTGTTTGTGTCCTTTGTATATTTCCACTACCTGGCATTACATTTTATGACACACATGGCTCGGCCCAACAAGGTCTCATTTATGTCAGATCCAGCCCTCATAACAAATGAGTTCGACACCCCTGTTCTAGATTGCCTAGCTGTGGAGCCGAAGCCCAGGAGGATAACAGCTTTCACAATTTGCACTAGAAATGTTAACGTTGCATCTTGGAGAGGGACTGGTGCCAAAATGTAGGGATTATCTCTGGGAATTAGAAACAGTTGGAGTTCATTAATTAACTGCCTTTGTAGGAGGCTGCCTCTGTCTCTGCATGAGTCACAATTCTGGGCACGGCATCCTGATTGGAAGGAGGCAAGGCCAGCGTAGTGGTTTGGGCTGAGTTGCAACAGGCAGGCTCTTTGGTATGTGGGACCGGCTGAACAATCGAGGAAAGGCACTTTCCCTGGTAAGTAAGGACAACTGGAGCACACAGAATAATCTTCTGTTTTCCCTCCATTCCACAGATGGCGAACTTTACACAGCTACTATGAACAACTTCCAAGGCAATGAGCCCATCATCACTCGCACCCTGGGCAACAGAGTGGTCCTGAAGTCTGATTTCTTCCTTACCTGGCTGAATGGTAAGGGCGCAGAGGGAACGGGGGCATTACGGGAAAAGGGAAGCCCCTCAGTCGCCCCAGACTAGCAGCCAGCAGCGTTCCACGGGCTGCTTTGGTCACCTAGGCAACCAGTGTGTCGGTACCCAGATAAGATAGATTGCCAAGGCAACCAGCAGTTCCCCTGAGGATCTGTGCCAAGTGGGTCGTGACCCGTGGGGCAAAGGGCATCCCGCGACACCTTCTGTTTTTTATGCGGCTCTCTCCTAGCTGACGCAGCTTTCGTGGCCTCTTTCAACATCCCAAGCCCCCCGGACGATGACAAGGTCTACTTCTTCTTTTCGGAAACGGGGGAGTATGACTTCTTTGACAAGATGAAGGTGTCCAGAGTGGCTCGTGTGTGCAAGGTGAGATGTGCCAGGAGGAAGGGCTCTGAGCGTTTTGCCAGGCCATGGCAGTGATCGTCATCCGAGGGAAGGGGCATTTGTGCTGCCTGTTTCGTTTCGGTTTGGGTGTGCTTCCGAGAGGGGAGTCTTTCTCATCCCTGGGCAGGGGTGTCCCATTGGTAGCCGCCCACATCTGAAAGGTGGAGGCGAGAGCAGCAAAGTAGCCTCTACAGTGTTCCCACCCACCATAATTTCCAGCAGCTTCCCAGCTTTCCGTCACGCCCTGACAAATGCTGGAGTGTCTGACAAATCTTTGTGGCTGCATCCCTGCGTCGCACGCACAAGCACACACACACACACTAAAATAAATATGCTTTAATTGCCATGGCGGCTTTAAGTAAACATTTTTAATTAGGTGGAGGTGGGGTAGCCTCTGACTCTGATTGGGTCCCTCCCCCCTCCTTCCAGAGAGGAGGAGGAGGAGAAGAGTGGCACATGACCAGTGTTCCCTCTAAGCTGAGTTAGTGTGAGCTAGCTCACAGTTTTTTAGCTTCCAGCTCACACATTATTGTCTTAACTCAGGAAGGATGGCTCCAGAGCAAACTAATTCATGCAGTAGCCAAATTGCTCGCTCACAACTTTAATGCCAGTTAGCTCACAAAGTGGAATTTTTGCTCACTCCACGGCTTAGAGGGAGCTCACAATTTTCTTTCTCCCAGCTGAGGCCAGGTGGGTGCAGTGAAGCAGATGTGGGGTACAGAAAATGTCTGGTGGATGAAGGAGCAGACTCAGGGCCTGATACCATCCCGTTTGGAGCTTTTTAGGTTGGGGGAAAAGGTGGAGGAAAGGGAGATGCAATTGTGTAAAATTTATTGAAGAAGAGACTGGATTTATACCCCACCCTTCACTCAAAGTCTCAAAGCAGCTTACAATCTCCTTATCTTCCTCTCCCCACAATGGACGCCCTATGAGGTAGGTGGGGCTGAGAGAGCTCTGAAAGAACTACTCTTGAGAGAACAGCTCTGAGAGAACTGTGACTGACCCAAGGTCACCCAGCAGCTGCATGTGGAGGAGTGGGGAATCAAACCCAGTTCTCCCAGGTTAGTGTCCTCTGCTCTTAACCACTACACCAAGCTGGAGCACAAGTGGACCCTCCCTCCCTCCCTCGGGTCAACCCAATGACGTAGATTCAGGAAAGACAACAGAAAGGACTTTTAAAAAATCCACTGCATAATTGACTTGGGGAACTCACTGCCGCAAGGTGATGGCCGCAGCTGGAACGGCTTTAAGAAAATAAGACTCAAATTCATGGAAGATAGGTTGAAGACCTGGTGATAAGTGGAACTTCTGGGTTTGGAGGCAGTCTGTCTCTGAATTCCAGAGCAACAGGAGAAGGCTGTGGTCCGCACCCATGTGTATAAGCAGCTGTCTTGAGTATTGGAGTGAGACTTTCTAGCCTTCCTTTTTAACGGGAGAGGCCCAAGACTGATCCAGGAGCCCGCAGCCACAGGGCGATTTGTAACAGATCCTTGCTTTATTGTCCTCTCCAGAACGATGTTGGAGGAGATAAAGTGCTTCAGAAGAAGTGGACCACCTTCCTGAAAGCTCAGCTCTCCTGCTCCCACAAGGGCGAGTTTCCATACAACGTCATCCAGCACATTGTTGCGGTCCCGCAGCAGGGAGGCGGTACCATGTTCTACGGCATCTTTGCTTCTCAGTGGTGAGCCAAGGGGGACCCATTGGGATGCAGGGCTTGACTTGGGTGGGCAGGGCTACTGAACGCGACTGTGCGGCCCCAGGCAAAGATTCCCTTTCAGTCTCCTCTTTGCGCTTCCCAGATCTGACCCAAACATCCTCTGAAAACAAGTTATACAACCCTATGAACAGGATAATCAGTTATTATGTTCATTGCACTGTTTTTTCTGTTCCATTCCTCAAACATTTTTGTGTGTGTCCTTCCTCTCTGGGGCTGGATGGGCAGCAACCCACAAGAGGGCTTCTTGGTGGTGGCTCCTAAATGATGGAACTCCCTTCCCAAGGGCATTTGTTTGCCCCCTCCTGCCAGAGGATGAAGGCTTCTTTGTCTTGTCTGGAATTCCTTCAACAATCTCTCCTCCCTTCCTTGTGTTTTAATTTGCTGCCCTCTGTTTTATGTATGCATTTTGGTTCTGTGTTTAATTTGTTTTATTAGTTGCCTAATAGTTGCCTTGGTGGCCCTGACTGGGCAGAAAGGTGGGATAAAAATTTTGTGAACAAATAATAATAGAACTATTTCTATCCCACCCTTCTTTCAGAGAGCTCAGGGCAATGCACGTGGTTCCCCCTCCGCCGCCTTTCCAACAGCCCTGTGAGGTGGGTCAGACAAAGTATGACTGGGCCAAAGATAATTTCTTTTTCTTTCCACCTTAAAGAATAACCCTTGAGTTTACTGCTGTACTCCGAAATAATAGTCCCTCTAAGCTGGGGATGTCAAAGATGTGGCCCGGGGGCTGGATCAGGCCCCCAGATGGCTGCTATCAGGTCCAAACTGGAACTGGCTGTCTTCTGCTTCTTCTTCCAGTTCTGCTGCTGCTGCTGTGTCATCGTAGGTTTGCAGCTTACAGATACACACCTGAACAGCGTACTCAAGAATGCAATAGCACAGACATTTTGATGAAATAATTCAGAGCAAGAGGTGTCAGTTATCAGACTCTGTTAAATAAACAAAATATTGCAAGAATGCTAATGTTTTAAGCATGTTTTTATTTTAAGTTAAAAAAAAACCCTTTTGTGTTCATGTCCTTTATAACGTTTATATCTCCGGCCCAACAAGGTCTCATTTATGTCAGATCCGGCCCTCATAACAAATGAGTTTGACACCCCTGCTCTAAGTTGTGGAGTCTTGGGAGCAAAAATTCTACTTTATGAGTTACTGGCATTAAAGTTGTGAGCAAGTGATTTGACTACTGCATAAATTAGTTTGCTCTGGAGCCCTCCTTCCTGAGCTAAGACACAAACATGTGAGCCGGAGGCTAAAGAACTGAGCTAGCTCACACTAACTCAGCTTAGAGAGAACACTGCTCCGAAGGAATCTTGCCCACCTCCCAGGGCAACCATCCAGGGCTCTACTGGTAGCAGGAGCTCCTTTGCATATTAGGCCACACACCCCTAGTGTAGCCAATCCTCCAAGAGCTTACAGTAGCCCCAGTAAGAAGAGCTCTGTAAGCTCTTGGAGGATTGGCTACACTAGGGGTGTGTGGCCTAATATGCAAAGGAGCTCCTGTTACCAGTAGAGCCGCAAACCTGTGTGCTGTGGAGGGGGGCTTCCCTGTGGCTGAGCTCCCAGAATCTGTTTTGGTGGTCTGGGTTGAAGTCCCAGAGGTTATGAAATATCTGGGCGCGTGCAGAGTTCCTTTCGGATCTAGCAATGCAGGTGCCCGTTGTACATCTGTTTGCAGGCGGAGGGGCAATCTGCGGAGCTCAGCGGTCTGTGTGTTCGACTTTGAGGCCATCAAGCAAGCCTTTGACGGGAAATTCAAGGAGTTCAACAAGGATTGTTCGCAGTGGATGACGTATAATGGGCCACCTGTTGATCCCCGCCCTGGCAGCGTGAGTACTCCTCCCAGTCCGAATGTCTGGGTAATACGAGAGAGTTGCCGCTTGAGTCCTTACCCAGAAAAAAAGTGCACAAGTTGTTTGTGTGCGTTCCTAGTGAGCTCAGGTTTCATTAAAAATAAAAGCGCAGTCATGAAGGCGAGTAACTAAAAGGAGGTTGGAGTCTGTGGCCACTCGTACCTTCTTCCCTTTTCCCAAGAAAAGGCAAGAAGTTGTTTTTCGAGATGTCACAGAGTTTGAACCAGGTCTTTCAAAGGCTCCACCCTGGCGCCTGTTACATGTATTTATTTTATTGAAGTATTTATATCCAACTGTGTCCCCATAGCTCAAGGTGACTTGTTTACCATCAAGTCCCAGCCATCGTCCGGCGACCCCGCAGGGTTTTCAAGGCAAGAGACGTTCAGAGGTGGTTTGCTATTGCCTGCCTCTGTGTAGTGACACTGGACTTCCTTGTTGGTCTCCCATCCAAATCCTGACCAAGGCCAACCCTGCTTAGCTTCCAAGATCTGACGAGACTGGACTAGCCTGGGCTATCCAGGTTAGGCCGAAGGTGACCTACTAGTCATCGTTAAAAGCATCGCAATTCATAACCCACAAAATAAAACCCTCAAATGATCCCAACCCCCAAAAGATACCTGCAAGCGGTGTATAACCCATTAAAAGACCTGGCAAAATGGTCTCCTGAAATGTTCCAGTTGGCCGTGCCTCCCTCTCTTCTTCAGAGTGGGAGCAGCAGGGGAGAAGACGTGGGCTCTGGTTAATGCCAGCCAGGCCATCTTCATTGGGGGAACAACCATACTGGTGGCAGCCTGAAGATCATAGTTGGCGCAGTTGGGATACATGGGAGGAGAATGCAGCCTCTAAGCTGTGGAGTCTTGTGAGCAAAAACTCTACTTTGTGAGCTCCCAGCATGAAAGTCGTGAGCGAGCAATTTGGCTGCTGCAAAAAGTAGTTTGCTCTGGAGCCATCCTTCCTGAGCTAAGGCAAAAAGGTGTGAGCTGGAGGCTAGAAAACTGTGAGCTAGCTCACACTAACTCAGCTTAGGGGCAACACTGAGTCGGTCCTATAGACATTTGGATCCTAAGCTGTGAAGGGTATAAAAACCAGGCCCTTGAATTGGACTTGGAAACAAACTGGTAGCCATTATAGCTGTTTTAAGATGGACAGGCTAGATTCCCACTAGTTATCCACTGACAATAATAGGGCTGTCACGCTGCAAACCAGCTGAAAGCTTAGCTGTGGACCATATGAACGTATGAAGCTGCCTTACACTGGATCAGACCATCTGTTCATCAAGATCAGTGGCTTTCCAGGGTCTCAGGAGAAGGTATTTCACATCACCTACTACCTGCTGGTCCTTTAACGGGAGATGCCAGCGATTGAACCTGGGACCTTCTGCATGCCAAGCAGACGCTCTGCCACTCCCTCTCCCATAGGAAATGGTAGCACAGTTACTTTACCTTCGCTTAAGGATTAAAATTTTGACTAAGGCGTGCTTGAAATGGTGTGGTTTTACAGTTGCAGTTACTGATTCTGATGAGACGGGATATTTAACGTTTGATTTAAACTGTTGTGTATGGCTGGTGTTTTAACTCCAGCTAGGTTGAATCTTATTTTTAAAAAATCAGCTGTCAGAACGGCTTTGCAAATCAATGATGCTCTCCCGCTTCCTCTACGTTCTCTATGGAAGTAATTATATTCCAAAATATGGGTTTTGAATTTTAGGGGGGGGGGGGGTCCATCTCTTAAATAATTCACGAGGCCCTGTCCGTTAAAACCATAAATCCGGCAGTGCGTAACGAGATGTCTTGCTTAGTCACTTAGAATAGCCGCCGAAGCATTAGAAGGCAGCTGCTGCTGAGGAATTAAGTTTTAGAGATGGCTGAAAGGGACAAACTCAGGAGGTAATGCATCTTAGAGAAATAGATGTCGGCCCACAAAGTGCACATTACACGGGGGCGGGGGGCTGGAGGCTCAGACGTGCCAGTGTGGGCTTTCACGTTGGGTTGGCCCCCGCAGCAGTGGGACCCCAGGAGGTGATACCCGCCACTCCCTTGCAGCTGGTGGCTGGGAGTCCCAGAGGTGCTTTGGTGCTGCCTTCATTTGTGCCTCCCTTGGTGGTTGTTTGGATGGTCTGGCTGGAATGAATGGGAGCCATGGAAGCTTTCTGGGTGACCTTGGGTCAGTCACACCCTCTTAGCCTAGGCCCTACCTCACAGGGTTGTTGTGAGGATAAAATGAAGGAGAAGAGAAAGATGTAAACCGCTGTGGGCCCCCATTGGGGAGAAAGGCGGGATAGGAATGAAGTGAGTAAATAAAAAATAAAGTCTTTTGCCACGCACTTGAGGATTGCTGCTGGGGCAGAAGCAGGGGCAGCGGGTGCTTCTTCTCATCAGGAGCACTGATTCGCTCCACTAAGCATCGTTTTGGGGAAAAACAGATATTTTTATTTTTTTTTGCCCCCCCCCCCCCAAGTGGCCACCCTCTAAACACGAATAGTCTCCTGGGTGGACTTTTAAAGATCACTGTTACCCTTCCTTAAATAATTCCAGTTTGGTGTAATGGTTAGGAGTGCAAACTCTAATCTGGGAGAACCGGGTTTGATTCCTCACTCCTCCACGTGCAGCTGCTGGTGTGACCTTGGGTCACCTACAAGTTCTTTTGGGGCTCTTCTCTCATGAGCATTTCTCAAAAGAGCTCTCACCCCCACCTACCTCACAGGGTGTCTGTTGTGGGGAGGGGAAGGGAAAGGAGGTTGTAAGCCGCTCTGAGACTCCTTTGGGTAGACAAGGGCGAGGTATAAATGCAGTCTCTTCCTCTCTTTACCAACTGTGACTGTGATGGATGAAAGGATTAAGGGGCATTTGAAGGAAGTTATTACTTGAGGGAAAAGCTTCCTTGAATATGGGGTAAAAAACTTCCAAATCTCAAAGTAGAGATGGGCCAAGACTGGAGGGATATGCTCTCTACCCATTTATACTGGCTCCCATTTTCTTTCTGAGCCCAGTTCCAGGCACTGGTGTTTAAAGCTTGATACGGATTGGCATACCTGGAGGTATACCTGAAGAACCACCTACTCCCACTCTAACCTACCTCACGGCTAAGGTCAACTTCCAAGGCCCTACTTCAGGTGTCCCTGCCTTCTGAGATTAGGTGGGCAGCAACCCAAGGGAGGGCCTTTTCGAGCGTGGCACTAAAACTATGGACTTCTCTCCACAGAGACATTCATCTGTCCCCTACTGTTACTGTCTTCCGCCAGAAGGTGAAGACTTTTTCTGTTTTGACTGACACTCCCTCGATGAGGCACTGTTTTAATTACTGCTTTATGTGTTTTTTATGTGCATTTTTAGCTTTGATTTTAACTGGACTTTATGATAGGTTTTTGTTCGCCACCTTGGCGATCCTGGTTGGCCAGAAAGGTGGCACACAAATTTTGTAAATAAATAAACAAAAACGGTTTTGCTCATTCGGGTCATTTGCTTCGGCAACTAACATTTCATGGACACTATAATGCACACAGATACTTGGGCCTGCGGAAGAGATTCTAGAAGTTTCTGTTGTTGAGGAAATTCCACTGTCATTCCATCCAGGTTTCTGAAACCCCAGATCAGTCTGTGGCAACCCCTCCTAAGCAAGGATGACTGACTACAATAATTCCACCTTGTCAACGAAGTACTTCTGCAGGTTTCCCGGTCATAAAATTTGGGTTACCTTTGCGTGGGAGTTGGACAGCTTTTTCAAGTGCGGACACAACACAATACCCTTGTCTTTTTGCTCCTGATCGCAGCATGGGCATCTTTTACAACATTATGTCTCTCCTTCCTGCAGTGTTCGGTTGGCCCATCCGCAGACAGAGCCCTGACGTTCATTAAAGAACACTTCCTGATGGATGAGAAGATTTTGCCCGACGGAAATCAACCTCTCTTGGTGAAGCAGAACGTCCAATACACTCGGATTACGGTCCACCAGACTTCAAATATTGTGGGGGATCTGTACAGTGTGATGTTCTTGGGGACAGGTACGACTTTTACTGTCATGCTAGAACTGTCTGTTTAATATTTCAATGTTTGCCTCAGTGGGTAGGAATCCAGAGATCCATCCTTTCACAGACGGTGCCTTCTGCAGTCACCAGGAGCCTTCCTCTGACACAAGAGGCTGTTTGAAGGAAGGCTCCTGGTGCCTGTGGGGGGGGCACTCTCGTTAGCAGGGTGGAGTTACTTACTCCAGTCTTATACTAGCAAGTAGCAAGAAGGAGGGCTGTAACATTTGGTTGGTTAATTTTCCAGATTCTTCCGTTTCAGACCCATGTGTTCAATGAAAAAGTACGGCTTCCAGCCAGCAGGAGAAATCTGGAGACCTAACTCCAGATGAGATACAGGGAAAAGCCATGACTGGATGTTTCTAGTGTGTCTTAAAGCAAACAGCAGCTGCATGGGGCTTTGATTCAGACCAGGGCATCTGATGCTGAGGTCGGAGCCTTCCACCCCCAACACAGTTTGGCCAGTTGGAACTGACTCCCGTGCACCCTGACCTGGATAGCCCAGCCAAGCCCGGTCTCGTCAGATCTCGGAAGTTAAGCGGGGCCGACCCTGGAAAGTACTTGGAAGGGAAACTTCCAAGGAATACCAGGGCTTGGGACGCAGAGGCAGGCTATCAAGCCACCTCTCTGAAAAATGTCCAGACCCCAGTAGGGGTCACCAGAAGTCAAACCACACGTACACACAAAAAAACCCCCAAAGTTTTAAAAAATGGACTCCCATGCATGCACAGATAACTCCTCTTTTGCCGAGTCAGACCTTTGGTCTTTTGAGGTCGGTCTTGTCTGCACTGGCCGGCAGCAGCTCTCCAGGGCTGTAGGGCAAAGTCTTCCACGTCACCTGCTGCCTGTGATCCTCTAGCTCTTCCACTGAGCTGCAGCCCTTTCCGGAGGCTCTGTCCGTTCTTCCCCATACCTGTACTGGTAAGAGCGCAGCCGTTTGCCGTTTCAGTTGGTGAAACTGTACGGAGCTTGGAAGGATTAACGCTCTACTTGCCTTGCAGCTGGCCTCGGTCTGAGCTGCTGTGTATCTTGAAAAATAAAATGCCAGTGAAACTCAGGGATCTCCCAGCATCGTCTCTAATCACAGTGTTAAGTTACAGAACTTTTTCTTGTTGTCAGGTCGCAGCTGACGTATGGCAGGCCTGTGGGGTTTTCAAGGCAAGAGACATTCCGAGGTGGTTTGCCATTGCCTGCCTCTGCGTAGTGACCTTGGACTTCTGTGGTGTTCTCCCAACCAAGTACATACCAGAGCCAAGTCTGCTTACCCTCTGAAATCTCACAGAATCAGGCCAGTCTGGGCTATCCGGGTCAGGGCTTGTTGCAAGTGCGAGGGGTCACGGGGCTTGCCTAAGATGGGCATCCCGTCCCAGGAGCTCTCTAGCCTCACGCACACCCCTCCTTGCTTTTCTCCCCCCCCCCTTAAACTTCTATTTATAACTTTTAACTTTAAAACATATAAACAGTGATACACTTTACATGGGTGAAACAGTTGCAATATACTTAACAAAAAACAAGTATTGAATCAAATCAGGATAGACGGATTAAACCATTAGCTGTAGTAATTATTAATAACCTTAATATATAGTGACCCTATTATTTTTGCACTTATGAAGTTAAAAGTTAGGGAGGTAGGCGAGTTCCAAGCCCTCCTTGCTTCCTGAGCCCTTCAGCCCTGGAGCAGGCAAGGGCCTCGCCGAGGTGCCGCCACTCTAGTCCGGGGTTCAAACCAGGGAGGGCTCAGAGTGCCTCCCCTCCCTTCACCCTCCCAAACAGTGCCCCTCCCACTGGTGAGGGTGTCACTAGGTGAACGGTTGAGCTTGAGGCCTGAGGTCCCAGCCAGGGGTCGTTTCGTAGAAAAAGAGCTAGGGGAACTCATTAGCATAACTCATTAGCATATGCCACACCCCCTGACATCACCGGACGTGTGTCATAAGGCCATACACCCCGCCCCCAACGGTCTCGGCCGCCGCCGGCCTTGCGGCTCCACTGCCGAGCCCCATGAGGGGCCCGGCGGTGGACCTGCAAGGCTGGCGGGAGTGCAAGGAAGCCCCGCGAAGGCCCTCCCTGGCCCCAGGCAGGCAGGGGTGGGGAGGGGCAGGGAGGAAGCAACTTACCCTCCCTCTTCTCCTGACTCCTCCTGGCTGAATGAGGGCCGGAAGCGGGGCGGCCGGAAGCAGGGGCGGGGCTTCGTCATGTGCCCCGCCCCCGTACCTCACCTGGGGGGACTGCGATCCCCCCCGAAATGACCTCTGGTCCCAGCACCTACTGGTGGTTCCCGGCCCCAAGCTGGCTGCAACCAGGGCCAGGGCTTTCTCGGCAGCTGCTCCTGTCTGGTGGAATGAGCTCCCAGAGCAGGCTCGGGCCCTGCGGGACCTGGCGCAGTTCCGCAGGGCCTGCAAGACGGAGCTCTTCTGCCAGGCCTTTGCATAGGAGCCGCCGCCGTCACTGTACCACCACCGAGTTGCCATCTTCGACGGTGGATTAGATCTGGAGGTGAGCTGGCCCTGGGCAGACGCCTAGTCAACCGAAGAATGTTTGTTGTCAGGTTAAGTTGATGAATGGAACTCATCTTGGATTGGAAAACTTTAACATCAAGAGCACCGCACTTTATTTAATGATGGTTTTATACTGTTTAATGATTGCTTTTATGTTGTTTTAACTGTTGTTATGGCAATTGCCTCTGTTGTAGCCGCCCTGAGCACGTTGGGGAGGGCGGGGTACAAATCTAATAAATAAATAATAAAATCAAAATCAACTGTTTGATTAAACAAAATGGGTCGTAACCAACAGATTGGGGGGGGGGACGACACTTGGGAGGAACAGCTTTAACAAGGATACATTTTCAGCCGGCAGGGCAAAATAAACACGTAAAGGAGCTGGCAAGAAAATAATGGCGCTTCCTAACGTGGCTTCCTCAGTGGTCCTTACCATACCTGGCCCTTCGCGGGTCCAACCCACCCTCCCTGAGTGAGGGATCCTCTCCTGCAGGCAGCAGCCTCACTGCCACTCAGCTCCAGGGAGCACACCTTCCTTCCTTCTTTGTGGCGGTGGGCGGGTTATAGTATCTGTCTCAAGGCCCAGCCTCCTTGGTGGTGACTGGCTTTCCCTTTCCCTCCAATTTCACCCCAGTCCAATCACAAGCCTCAGAGGGGTGGCCTGGGAAACGTAGGCCTGTTGCAAACTTTACATGAGGCTTCGGAGGCTTCCTTGAGGCCTTTAGGCCAGTTGTTCTTTAGCCTAATGCCTAGGATCATGACAGGGCTGCCAAGAAGAACATGCCATCAAGTCACAACTGACTCACTGGAAACCCCTTCTGGGTCCGTGTCACTCTTCCCCGGCCACTGTCCCGCAGATTTCCTTTTCCCTTCCAGCCAGGCTCAGATACTGGGAGCCGGATGGGGAGAAAAGTGTTGAAGAGTGTTGGGTTGGGGCCGCTGCCAGGGCCCAGGGCTTCTGCCCCCATGTGCCTTCCCTTGCCCATTTGCTTGCAAACCCCCCACCCCAGCTTCCCGCTTCCCAGAATGGATGGGGAAGTGAATTTGGGTGGTGTGCAGCACAGTCAGGGAAGGACATGTGGGAACCTGTGAGTACGGGCAGTGGAGGGGGGGGCGGCAATGATGCACAGACGGGTCAGGTAGGGGGGGCTGTGGGTGGGTGGAAGGAAAGGGAGGCATGAGGGGGGACTGGTGGTGGGCAGAAAGAGGGCCCACCGAAACCTGGAACCAGCACTGGGTTGGGAGAGGCTCCGTGTCTAAAACGGGGGGGGGGGGGGGTTTCAGCTTCCATGACTTTTCTGAGCTAGGGACTGTGAAGGAGGGACTGTGGCTCAGTGGTAGAGCAGCCACCTGGCATGCAAAAGTTCCCAGGTTCCATCCCCAGCATCTCCATTTGAGAAGCCCAGGTCATAGGTGATGTGAAATTTTTCCACCTGAGACCATGGTGAGCCTCTGCCCATCCTAGCAGATAATACTTAACCTTGATGGATCGATGGTGTGATTCAGTATGACAGCTTCATGTGTACACACACACCTTGGCTTTGCACAGGATTGGGTTTAAACATTTTTAAATGTCTCTCTGTCTTTTGTTTCCCTCAGATGATGGTTTCCTTCACAAAGCAGTGGTTACTGCCAGGGGAGCTCACATCATCGAAGCAATCCAGTTGTTCAGGGAGCCAGAACCTGTTTTGAACTTGCTGCTCTCCCCAGAAAAGGTAGGTTACCTGTTTCTGTCTATCAGACAAGGTCCCCCAAAGCCTGTGGGCACGTGTGGATTTCGACAACAGGAAGGTGGGTGCCACTGTGAAATGGCTGCCAAGGTGGGGTGGAAAAAGGTCTTCCTTTTGCCCAGACTGAACCAACTGCAAATCATCTTCATTAGAGGACCCAAGTAATAATAATTTCCTTTTTTTGCCCCATCCTATCATAGGGCATCCTCTATGTGGGCTATTCTAAAGGTGTCCTGCAAGTACCGCTGGCCAACTGCAGCATGTACAGAAGCTGTGCGGAGTGTGTGCTGGCGCGAGACCCCTACTGCGCCTGGGACCGACATCGCCACAAATGTACTGGATTCCTGAATGTGGAGGATCTGTGAGTATTTGCAGGACTGAGCCAACTCTGGGGGGCCTAGTCGACACATGCAGCAGAATGAGAGGGGGTAGAGTCCTGTCATAGCAGAACACATAGCAGATCACATTTTTAGTCCCCCCCCCCCAAAAAAAACCCCACAATTTAAAAAAGTTGTCTGAAAGCAGAAAACTAATGCACCAGGGAGTGGACTGGGATAGAACCTTGCTCCCCAGTGAACTGGAAGTTTTTATTTTGCAAAGGACTTTTGTTTGTTTTTATTCAGGGAGCATATAAATCATATCTTCCCCCCCCCCCCCCGGCAGCCTGAAGTGGTACAGTCCATCTAATGCTTCATGTGTGGTGGTGGAAAGTGCCATCGAGTCGTAGCTGACTTATGGCGACCCTGCAGAGTTTTCAAGGCAAGAGATGAACAGAGGTGGTTTGCTATTCCCTGCCTCTTGTGTAGCGATGCTGCGCTTCCTTGGTGGTCTCCCATCCAAGGACTAACCAGACCGGACCCTGCTTAGCTTCCAAGGTCCGACAAGCCTGGGCCAGCCTGAGTCATCCAGGTCAGGGTGCTTCATGCGTAGGCCAGGGAAATTACACCCGGAGTAGAAATAACAGCCAGCCTGTTTCAGTTTCCCACTCTGATCATTGTAACAGCCACTAGGGAAACCCCCAAAGGGAATAATTGTAGGAGATGAGACCGCTTGGTAGAATATGGGTCTGTCGAAGGGTGTTAGCCACAGTTTCCAGAATTGTAGCCACGTGAGTCTGTTGGCAGCAGAAACAGCAACAAGTAGCACCTAACAGATTTACCATGGCGTCCACTTTTGTGGACTAGCAGCCACTTGTCCTCTGTTGGCAGAGACACACAAGAACAGAGGAAAACAGGTTTTTAAGCGGCGGCGTTAACACAATAGGCCTGCTGAGCCCAAAAGTATTAGGGAGGGGCTGCGGCTTAGTGGGTAGAGCATGTGTTTTGTATAGAGAAGGCCTCTGCTTCAATCCCTGACAGGTCCCCAGTAAGACGATCCTTTAACAGAGAGGTGCTTCCAATAGGGCTAAATGGGGATAAATGGTCTGACTCAGAATAAGTCAGCATCGTATGTCCATATAGGTGATTAGAACAGCGTCTGATTCACAACATCAATTATGTGCCAACAGTACTGCCTTATTGGTTGCGCCGTGCTAATAATAGGGCAGAAGAAAGCCATCAGCCCTGATAGCTTAAATGGAACCGCCATAGAACCATAGAGGTGGAGGCGACGCCCAGGATCATCCAGTCCGGCCCCCTGCACAATGCAGGGAATTCACAACTACCTCCCTCTCCCTGTGACTCCTGCTCTGTGCCCAGAGGAAGGCAAAAAAAACCCCATCCAGGATCCCTGGGCCATTCTGGCTTGGAGGAAAATTCCTTCCTGATCCCAAAGTGGTGAACGGGATAACCCCATGTTCAGAGCTAGTCTACCGCTTCCTGGACGTATGGAGCTGCCTTATATTGAATCAGACCATTGGTCCATCAAGGTCAGCCGTTTTCACCGAGACTGGCAGCAGCTCTCCAGGGTCTAATGGGCAGCAATTTCATACCATCCTTTTAAAAATACCTGGAATTGCTGGGGATTAAACGGGGGGCTTCATGGATGCAAAACAGCTGCTCTGCCACTGAGCCACGGACCTACCACTTCCAGGCCACATTTCCTGGAGTTTTCCTGGAGAGGCCTGCCATTGGAAACAGAACGCAATATATCTGCTGCGATCCTGCAAGTCAATTCTTATGTCCTCTCCACTTCCAGGAGTAACTGGCTGCAGGACGTTGAGTACGGGAACCCCAGCCTTGGATGCCAAGACAAAAGCAAACGCCCCAGAATTTTGCTGAGGTCTTCAAATGATGCCAACGACGGAGTCGTAAAAAGTTCAGTGCAAGTCTTTCAGGATTTCGTCGCTTGTCAAAAGGGTCCCCTCCCCTTTGAAATGGTTGGGCTGGATCCATTTTGTTATCGACAGTCACTTTCCTCCCTTCTCTCCCCCCACCCCCTACTTAAAATAAGTCCTTCACTCCCTAAAGCCATGCTTAAGATTTCTTGGGAAGTGGATTTAGGAAAATGGTGACGGGGGGCCTACAAGACTCGGTGGAACCCACAAAGAGGAGAACTGAATGTGTGACCACCTTCCGGATCCTCCTGGTCACTCCCTCAGGCTTCCTGAGAACTCCTAAAATCTCCTTTGAGCAAGGGCAGGATATTTATTTATTTTGTTTTATTTACGTTATTCATAGCCTGCCTTTCTCACAGGGATTGGGGGTGGATTACACAGAGTGGGTCAGTACAGTCAACAAAATGGGACATTCGATAACCAATGCCTTAGGATTTTAGAAGTCTGGAACCAGCCAGAAAGAACTGAAGCGTAGCACAAGTATTCACATGACACATTTACAGAAGTTACAGAATAGGATCCTACTTACAATACAATGCCAACCTAGCAGTTCAAAAGCAAGAAATTGCAAGTAGATAAATAGGTACCACCTTGGTGGGAAGGTAACAGCGCTCCGTGCGCCTTGGTGTTTAGTCATGCCGGCCACATGACCACGGAAACGTCTTCGGACAGTGCTGGCTCTTCAGCTTTGAAACGGAGATGAGCACCGCAGCCCTAGAGTCGGACCCGACTGGCTTTCAAGCAAGGGAACCTTTACCTTTTTTACAATACACTACATATAGCAGTAAAGGCCACAAGTACCAACAGTTAATCCAAGTCAGTTTGTGAACCGTTTTGTACTGTGCAGCCTTATTACCTGCACAGAAAAGCCCCCTTGAATCCCTCAGTAAAAAAATTCTACTGTGAAAAATGACAGTTCTGGCAAACTGGACTTTGGAAACTGTGACGAAACTGACAATTGAAAAGAAAGCAGAGCAGCAATAGGATTCGGTTGCTTCCACATGGGACGATTCCCTGCTCGGCTCTGACTGCGGCTGCAAATGCAGAGAGGCTTCCACATGGGGGTATTCTACCCCTGCGGTGTCTCAATGTACCGGCCATTGGTGAGCTTTTTGCCTTTTTTTTTTTTTTTACAAAAATCAGTCAGAGGTCATTGCTCTTGGTATTGGAACACTGCAGTGATCTATCAGCTACTGATTTTTTTTTAAAGCTACTAAAAAGGCAGTGAAATGGTGCAGCACGCCAGGTTTGCCTGCGTATGCAGAAATCTACCCCTTCCTGCCCAAACTTGGATATGATCTTTCAAGAAAGATAGTACTAAAGTAGGTTTGAGCAGACTTGCAGTGGATCCAGGGTGAACCTGGAAGGTGGAGGATACACGTGACAATGTTGTGCAGAAGAGCCCCCAAAGAACCAGTTCAGATAGAAATGCAAAGCAAGAGCTCTGTGTGGCAGCTCTTGTGCCCAGCTCCCACTTCAGAAGGTAGTCCAGGTCATTAGCAGTGTCATAATAATTAATTAATAATTATCTTATGGCATTGTGTGTAGTATAGCTAGCAGATTCTAAGATTGTCTGGCCGCCTGAAGTTCTAGCTCTCTTTTAGTGTTACGCATCACTAGGTGGCAAGCAAGACTTGTATTTTTTTGGTCCGAGAGAGCTCTGAAAGAGCTGTGGCTGACCCAAGGTCACCCAGCTGGCTTCATGTGGAGGAGTAGGGAATCGAACCTGGCTCTCCAGATTAGAGTTTGTCACTCTTAACCACTACTAATGTATACAAAAACAAATATGGTCACAGTTCATAGGTAAAGTAAAGGTAAAGGTTCCCTTGCTCGAAAGCCAGTCGAGTCCAACTCTAGGGTTGCGGTGCTCATATCCGTTTCAAAGCCGAAGAGCCAGCGCTGTCCGAAGACGTCTCCGTGGTCATGTGGCCGGCATGACTAAACACCAAGGCGCACGGAACGCTGTTACTTTCCCACCGAAGTGGTCCCTATTTATCTACTTGCAATTTCTTGTTTTCGAACTGCTAGGTTGGCCATAGACATGCAAAAATAGAACCACAAAAACTGTACACAGTGCGCTCAATATTTCTTTAACGAAAACCGTAAAGTTATAAATATGAAATGTATAAAAGTGATAATAATACATTCAAATGTGTAAGTTTCGACAAACGTCTTCTTCTAACCAAGAGTCTATAAGTTGAGGATGTATAAAAAATTGCACTTCAATGGAAAAGCTGCCCAATTCACATGGAGTTCAATAGTTTCACCTATTTCATTGCATAAGTAATGGAGAAGTGCACATAAGCTTTATTCTGTTTGAGAGACGTTTGTCGAAACGGCATCGCATTCCGGAGACCAGCGTCCCGTCGTTGTCATCTTCTATCTTTATGTATCTGAACTTACACATTTGAATGTATTATTATCACTTTTGTACATTTCATATTTATAACTTTACGGTTTTCGTTAAAGAAATATTGAACGCACTGTGTACAGTTCTTGTGGTTCTATTTTTGCTCTTAACCACTACACCACGCTGGCTCTCAGCAGTGCCGTAATCCAGGGGGAGATCTGATGGAGACTTTGGCATGTCGCTCCCTCCGTGAAATTACAGCTCTTTGCGATTCCTTTCAGCTTTGACCTCTTCGTTGAACTCCATGGTACGGCTGACCTGCCCTCGCGCTTCCGCCCTGGCCAACTACACGTGGAAGTATCCGATGGAGAAGGCGGAAGGGCTGGTCATAGAAGACGAGAAAGCCCTGGTCGTCATTGTCCAGAAGGCCTCCCTGGGCACGTACGAGTGCTTGTCCAACGAGAACGGGTACCAGCAGGTGGTGGCCAGCTACCGCGTCCTCACCCCGAAGTACCCCGACATCCTGGGCAGCAGCGACAAAGACGGCATTGCCGAGGAGGGCCTGCCGCACCAGGCCATGCCGGCGGGCAAGCGGCGTTCTTACTGGGTCCAGTTCGTGACCGTGACTGTGCTGCTGTCCATGACCTTAGCGGTCGCGGTGGCTTTCGCGTTCTTCACTTACCACGACCGGCTGAAAACCAAGAACAAAGTTCAGGGGTCCAGCGCCCCCGAAGGCGGCAGAGCGCCCGGGCAGCAGAAGGGCCCCTCGAACAGCAACCCGAGCGGCCCACAAAGCAACGAATACCAGATGCAGGGCCCTCAGCCAGAAGCGGCCACCGGCGGCTCCAAACCGTGCTGCGTGCAGCCGGAGGGGGCTTTCCAGGTGATTGACCTCGACAACAACCGCTTGAACTCTGCCTTGGCGAACGGGGACGACTCCAAAGGGGCTGTGGCAGTGGGCGGGAGCCTGGCTTGATCTAGCGTTGCCCCCCTGGCTGGCTGTTGCTGGGAGCGACCCGTCAAGATACCATCTCGGGCTCACGGGCAACCTGAAAAAGAATCCTTGGCCTAGCCATTTCTGTGGCAGCATTCAAAAGATACCACCAGAAAACAAGACGTTACCTCTGAATTCAGTTTTTCTGGTCTCGTCTGTATGATGCCACGCGGACCTGGAAAACTGGCGCCAAGGGGCTGGCAGAATCCCTTCATATCCACGGGTCTTTGGGGTCCCTCCCTGCATCTACACTCCCTCCATAAATACGGTACCGGAGCCCAGCATTTTCGCCGCGACGTCTCCACGCAGTCGCTCGTAGCCGAATTAATAAATCTCCACATGAAATGTTTACGGAGATCAGGGACAGACTGACCCCATCCCCGCCTCTTAGTCTCCTGGGCCCCATCGGGTTTGGAGGGGCTTGGGAATCGGGGGGGTCAAGGCCTGGCTGCTTCGTTGGCTCTGCCGATGCCTTTTGAGGTTTTGTGACAAACAAGGCCGGGGCGTTCTGCTGCCAAAAAAAAAACAAGGAAAGGGGGGAAGTCACAAAGCCATGGGTTCAAAGGAGGAGGTGGTAACAGGAAGAGACAAGTACAGCCTTCCTGTATAAGAGATCAGTGTAGGCAGGGGTGGGTGTGTCAGAGGCAGTTCTGTCCCGAGGCACTGGCAGAGTGGGAAACAGGCCAACAACTGACCCAGGGAGTGTACTCAGATGGTACGCCATGGATGACAGTGTCCTCGGTGGATCCAGGTCCAGGAGGGAGCCTGGAGCTCGGCAAATATGATCTTGGGCCCTCTTTTTTTGTGGTATTGGGGTATTGTGAATGGGTGAGGTTCCAGACAGCAGTACGGTATTATGAATGGTTGAGGTTCCAGACAGCAGTACGGCATAATGAATGGGTGAGGTTCCAGACAGCAGTGTCTGTACTTATTGGCCCTGCTGTAAAGGAAAATGGGGAGGGAAGATCGAGACGTGTCCACAAGCCTCTGTGAGCATCTGACTTCCTCGTTTAAGAACACCCTGAAGGTCTGTCTGACCCAAAGACTGGTTTTACAACTGGTTTGTGTGTATTTCATGCAAAAAAATGAAAAACTTCTGTAGTCCAAATTCAGCGCCAAGGAACAAAAAGTGGATTCTTCTACAGTAGCCTATTTTTTTCTGTTTATTTTTGCACAATTTATTCTGACGTTTTTACTATTTTTGCATAAATTATTGTGACTTTGCTACTTTCAGAGCGGGGTGGGAAGGAGCGAAGCAGGGTCCAGAAAGCTCTCACTGCCCCCGAACCACTGGAAATCTTGTTCGGCCACCTTCCTTTTGGCTTCTGGGATTTGACATCCCATCACTGCCGTAAGGACTAGAAAGCAGAGTTGTGCTTTGAAACAACAGTTAAGATTGTCGGGAAGGAAGTGCTGTAATCTACGCCTTTCTTTCCCCTGCACTGTGAATCGTTCTTTTAAAAGAAGAAGTCTGTGCTGCCTCTCTGGAAACATGCTTGTGGGCGACGTTCAGTATTATCTTTCCTGTGTAGATATACAGGGCGCTCAGATGGGATTTGGACCAAAGCTGCGGTGACCATGACATAAATTGGATTTGGACCCATCTCTGCAGAGCAGAATGTTCTGTTTGTTCGGTTTGCTCACCCCTGCCCCCTTACATGGGACCAAAGAAGTGTGTGGGAAGGAATTTGTACCGCCAGAGAGTGAAGGACATTCTGAGTGTCTGATAACAGCTGAGACGGCAGCCTTATCTTTTTACCCAGCATGCCCTTCTCCTGGCTCGTCTGCACTTTCTGTACAAACACTGGACCTGCTCAGAGGGGATGTTGTTCCACCTGGCTGGGGGCTACCCCCTTCTCATCTCGCTCCGAGTCAGGAGACAGCTGAGAGTTTGGAAATTGTTTCTTCCGTCCCACCCCCTTCTCCCAACGAACAGACGCATTTCTTCAAGGCGGAAAGCTATTCTGTTCCCGTGTAGCACGGCTGACCTCTAGTGAGGGAAACGGCAAACCGCAACTTTTGACAACTTCATTAAGCGCTCCAGTTTGTTCCTCTTGGCACTTTCCCCCGATTTGGGGACCTTGACTGTTAGAAAAAAACAACCACCACAAGTTTGACTTCTTTGGGCTTGCTCTGGCCATGGAAACTGCTTGGGAGGTGGTGACGTCAAGACAGTATTTATTCTTAAAACTGCTTATTTTTTTAATGGGTTCTAAGGACATGTTGATTTGGATCCAAGACTCTGAAAGCCCAGAAAAGTCATCAAGCACGCAAATGCTCTGGACTCAATAACCTGGGTGTGGCTCAGTAGCAGAGCTTGAGCCCGTTTCATGAGGCACTGAATTGGGGGGGGGGGGGATTCAAGTTTGCGTTTGTGTGTCTTGCCTGACAGACAGGGCTAGCCTCAGGGACTGGCATCACTGGGCCCAGAGCCTACCACACGGCGGGGGGTGGGGGATGGGACAGGGTCCACTGAAGAGCATCTTCCCAAGGTCCCCGGAAGGAGCTGCAGCAGCTGATTCTGGGTCCTTGACTAGCAAAGCCTACTGCTACCATTGAAAGCACATTTGTCACGTCTGTATGTTAACCTTTGTAGGTGTGTACTCAAAACAACGTTGCACCCGGGATTTTGTGTGAAAACAAACGTAAGGGTGAGGAAAAAAAACCCCACTGCTGGGTCAAAGGAAGCAGCAGCCATCGGTATCTGTTGCCGTCCGTGTGGCTTTGTGTGCATGCATGTTTGTTCGTATGAGAGAAATGTTCTTAAACTGTGATTTAAGATTGCTGAGTTGGTGTGTCTGTTGTTGGCGGGGGGGGGCGGGGGGGGGGGGGGACCAACCATCCCAGTTGGGTTATCGTTTGTGTCAACTGATTCTATCACGGATTCAGTGAGTTGCAAAAAAGAAAAAGAAAGAATACAAATCCTAGGAAAATGGTTTCACTGGAATCAAACAGGCAATGATCCATGACGTTACTTAGGTTCATGGCTTTGTTTTGGGAAGGCGGGATGGGAGTAAACCGTGTTCCAGGGGGAACAGCTCGATTCAAGACCAGTCGCACCTTAAGAGACCAACAAGGTTTTTGGGAGTATGAGCTCAACACTATCTTTGTCAGATACTTTGAAGCTCTTCTTTGTCTAAGCTGTACTATGAAAATCTAATCTGGCTGTTGTACTGTAGATCATTGGGAAATCTTCTGTACTGTACTTTTCACCCACATGTTCTCCCATGCCACTATTGGGGGGGGGGGAGACACTCCCCTCTTACCCAGAAGGCGCATTGTCTCCCTACTGAAATAGGTACGGATGTTTGGGTAATCCAGTTTAAGCTTTAGTATTTGGCAAACCCTTATCAAATGGCCATTTCCCTTGAGTTGATAAAAGGTTTCAGGCACCTCCCTGTTTGCAGATTTCAGGGGGAGGGGGGTGTCATGGGATTTCTGTCTGCAGTCAAGCTGATTTGAAACAAAATGGTTGTCCCCAACAGGAGACAAGGAATAGTTTGAGCAAGTTGACAGTTACTTGGGAGAGGTTTTATTTCCTATAGCGTATCCACGCCCACACTTATACAAAAGAAATCTGCCCCGTCTTGGACTAGAGACAGCAACAAAACCACCTTCAGCTCGCTTGGGAGGTGGAATGTCTCCAGCTTCATTTCCCCCTTATCAGAGGTAGATACTTTAAACCAGTTGGGTGTTTTGACCTTTTCACTTCACGTTGTGTTTATAGGGTTTTTTTATTAAAAAAAAGATGTAAATCTTTGTGTTGCATTTATACATGCTATTTTTATTAAAAAACTATGATGTCATTACAATAATCTGATTATTGCACTTGACTTTGAGCAGGTGACTCTTGAGTTAGGGGTTTTTCAACTTTCCCTTCCTTCCGTTCCATAAGGGGTAGGAAACAGTTGGGAGGCCGTTCCCATAATCCATCTTTTCCACAAGCCAGGTGTGTATACCTGTTTCAAGCTTCCAGGTCTCAGGATGTGGTGTGAAGATTCAGAGTCAGCCATCTTCCCAGTGAAGGGCTATAACCAGAGTTGGGCCAGTCAGCAAATCACCTAGGTTTTTTTTTTCAAAAAGAGATCTATGACCACACCTTCCATTAAAAAAAAATTAGAGCTTGTTTTTAGAATGTGAAATTAAACAATAGTGGTTGCACGTGCCCTTCTTTCCCACGGGATTAGGGCCCCACTCCCCCAGCTCTGCTTCCCCTTGGATTTCCCCCGTAGCTCAGAGCGGATACTTGACAAGATTACTGCCACACAGGGTGTGTCAGGTGCTCTGCATAACATATGCTAGAACAGGGCCTGGATATACTCGCACCAAATAGCAGAAATAATGGTCAGTGCTTCCATATACCACTGGGAACCGTGTCACATCATCTCAGTGTGTGCAATGCAAATTCAATCATCTGACAAAATGAACTATTCAGTTTGGTGTAGTGGTTAAGAGCACGGACTCTAATCTGGGAGAACCGGGTTTGATTCCCTACTCCACATGCAACTGCTGGTGTAACCTTAGGTAAATTAGGAATTCTTTCAGAGCTGTTCTCTCAGGAGCAGTTCTAGAAAAAGCTCATCTCCACCTACCTCACAGGATGTCTGTTGTGGGGAGGGGAGGGGAAGGGAAAGGAGATTGTAAGCCCCTCTGAGACTCTCTGGTAGTGAAGGGCGGGGTATAAATCCAATTTCTTCTTCCTCTTCTTCTTGACTTATAACTGTATAAACTATATCTGAGCTGTCCTGTAGATACGATGGTCCCAGACCATTTAGGGCTTTAAAGAGAAGAGATTGGATGTTATACCCCACCCTTCACTCAGAGTGGCTTAAAATCCCTTTCCCCTCCCCACAACAGACACCCTGTGAAGTAGCTGGGGCTGAGACAGCTCTTTCGAGAACTGCTCTGAAAGTACCAGAATATTCCCTGAAAGTACCGGAACAACTCCTTTGAACATACCCACACCTCTCCCCCCCATCAAGTCACACCTGACTTATGGTGTCCCTGTGTAGTTTTCAAGGCAAGAGGCACAGAGGTGGTTTGCCATTGCCTGCCTCAGTGTTACTTGGTATTTCTGACCTAGCTTAGCTTCCAAGCTCTGACAAGATCAGGGCACAGCTCATCTTAGAAGTGGTTTAATCATCACTCCCTGGCGGCGAGGTGCTGTAGTTTTGAGACAAGGTGGGGCTTGGGATCTTTAACAGAGACTTCTTAGCAGCCTCACCAAGCTGCAGTTCCCAAGGCTGCGGGGGTGGGGGGCAGTGTTCCCTCTAAGCTGAGTTAGGGTGAGCTAGCTCAGTTTTTTAGACTTTAGCTCACACATTTTTGCCTTAGCTCAGGAAAGATGGCTCCAGAGCAAACTAATTTATACAGCAGCAGACAAATCGCTCGCTCACAACTTTAATGCCAGTAGCTCACAAAAGTAGGATTTTTGCTCACAAGATTGCACAGCTTAGAGGGAGCATTGGTGGGGGCGGGGCTATAACAGTTAAGGGGATCTAAAACTGCAGTGCCAGGATCTCCTGAGCCTCAGTGGGCAGAGTTAGAACTAGGGTAGGACGGGGATGAAGCTTGGTGGCCGTGGAGTGGCGAGAAAGAGTTTATTCATCGGGATTCTGACCCTTCACCCCAAGTCCTTCCAGTGAAGACCCTAAAAAGGAGGCTAAAACCCTCCAACTGCAGACCCAGCAGCCTGTCCTCTGTGTGAACTTTTTCAAAGTGACCCCCCCCGGGTCTAATTGAAGCACCATCCACCTCCTGTAACCTTCAGGTCCTGTAGCCATTCCCTTCTGCACTGATTTCTTTGTATCTTAGACCACACATCTAACATTTTGAACTTTTATGTTTAAAAGAAAATAATGAGCCAAAACCTGAATCAGATTCTGCAAAACACCTGTACTTTAAACCTTTGTTTCCATTTCACATAAAGGAAAGAAGTATGTGCATTTCCTACTCTCCCACCCACATTGTATCTATTGAGGGTAAACTGGATGATCTCTAAGTACCCCTTGACAACCTTGCTATTCTTGGACTGCCCAATTAAGAAAAGGAACTTTCCACTGGAGCGAAGGACAGGCTTGCAGCTGCCTCAACTGGGCTGCGGAGTCAAATTGGGGTCACATTAGAGCTTCACTCCATAAATACTTAAGATTACTGTGGGGATTCACGATTTTGTTGAACCTGTAGGCATTTTTGAAATTTTGAGACAGGGTCCTAGGTGCCACTGCAAAATGGCTGCCATGGGTGGGGAAGCAGGGCCAATCCAAACTACATGTGAAACCATTCCACAAAACCAAACGCACCTC